CCTTGCCCTGCACTCCATTAACATTCTCCCCCCCCCCCTCCCTCTCTCTCTCTCCCCCCCCCTCCCTCTCTCTCTCTCCCCCCCCCCTCTCTCTCTCTCCCCCCCCTCCCTCTCTCTCTCCCCCCCCTCCCTCTCTCCCCCCCCCTCTCCCTCTCTCCCCCCCCCCTCTCTCTCTCTCCCCCCCCCCTCTCTCCCCCCCCCCCCCCCTCTCTCTCTCTCTCCCCTCTCTCTCTTTCTCCCTCTTGTTGTTTCACAACAACTTGCAAATAACGAAGGCGATGTACCTGCTGTGTGGAGAGCCCCCGCACCTCTGGAAACGATGCCATTTAGTCGGTCGGTCGGTCTCCTGTACACACACCTCCCAGTGAAGGGCTGCTCCTCAAAACGCCTTTCTCCTGTGGCTGAGTGTTGGGGTGGGGGGTGGGGGCTGGGGGGGCTGTTGGGGTGGGTGCTGTTGGGGTGGGGGCTGTGGGTGCTGTTGGGGTGGGTGCTGTTGGGGTTGTTGGGGTGGGTGCTGTTGGGGTGGGTGCTGTTGGGGTGGGTGCTGTTGGGGTGGGGGCTGGTGCTGTTGGGGTGGGGCTGGTGCTGTGGGTGCTGTTGGGGTGGGGGCTGTTGGGGTGGGGGCTGCTGTTGGGTTCCCAGACGTGTGGCCAACGAGTTCAGGTCGTTGTGTCTGTGTGTAATTGTGTGTGTGAGTGAGTGCTTTGACTGCTTTCCCTTTACACACTCCCCCTGTCCCTCCCTCTGCGCGTATCTCATCTGTACCTCCTTGTTGTGACTGTGGTTTCCGCTCTGAGTAAACTTCCTGAATGGAGAACAAGGGGGAGGGGGGGAGAGGGGGAGGGGAGAGAGGGGGGGGGGGGAGGGGAGATAGGGGGGGGGGGAGGGGAGAGAGGGGGGGGAGGGGGGGGAGGGGGCCAACCCTGACAGACAGACAGAGCCCCCACTCCCCCCCTCTCAGCCCCATCCCACTACACATCACATGATACAATGTGTCAATGAACAGTACAAAAAAGTCACATGTAATAGTACATGTGTGATCTTTGTACTCACATGTAACAGTGCATGTGTGATATTTGTACTCACATGTAACAGTGCATGTGTGATATTTGTACTCACGTGTAATAGTACATGTGTGATCTTTGTACTCACATGTAATAGTGCATCTATGATCTTTGTACTCACATGTAATAGTGCATGTGTGATCTTTGTACTCACGTTAATAGTACATGTGTGATATGATTTGATATTCATCCAATACAGTACTGGATAAACACAGCGTTTTTTTTCCAGATTAAAAAAAATCAAAATGTAGCAAAGACTAAATGAAACTGTTGCGGAGAATACTGAAAAAGAACAATGTAGCGCCATATTCAAAGACCCGCAAAGGTTATTATTCCCCCAAAATGTGTTGAAATAGGGTTAGTTACATCGTGACCAAAAAAAACGGTTGGCCATTCAATCAAACGGCTTCCTTCGACCAAATTCTACACTCTGGAAAAAAAATGCTGAATCACTAAGAGTAAGTTGGAAACGTCTCATTTTTTTGGCCTTTGGAATTTTCTCCTCTCAAGTTTTGAAAGACGTCACGACGAAGCAAATGCAGATAACGAATCTCTGTTTGGATTGCGATTTCAGTGTTCGCTGGAGAGCTGGAATGATCTTTTATTGCTAAAAACTAAAAACAATAATTAAATTGGTCATTTTCAATCTACGACTGTTTGTGGGACATTGCTGTGCGCAATTGGCTGCCGCGTTTGCCCACAAATATACAGTCAATTCACTTTACAGTGTACTCTGTGAAGCGCTTTGGGACGTCCTCCCGACGTGAAAAGCGCTATATCAAATGCAAGGATTATTATTATTATTATTATTATTATGAAATTGCAAGATTAGGAAAACATTGACCAGCAACTGCACCTTTCACACACATATTTAGAATGGTTTGATCTCCCAGCAGAAGCGTTGAACTGAAAAGTTTTATGGCGCAATTAAGCAACCGCATTTGACATAGTATATTGATATGTAGTTTAGAGAATAGCAGCTCTTATTACTCTACTTATGGTACAGTACTTACATTTGTATAGCACCTTTCATGTTGGTCCCATCTCACAGTGTTTCACAGGATATACTGTAAAGTGCAATGACTGTGTATATGGTCAGTGAACCGCGTGTATATATATATATAGAATCCAAACCTGGTTTGTTAATACTGGAAAAAAACTTGAATTGGTCATTTCCACATCAGGTTCGAGTGAACAAAATCCTCCAGAAGAGATGGCTTCAAACCCGTGTTCAAATATAAACTTGCTGGTAAAATCTATTGCAATATCCCACACAAATCATTCCCGATATTCCGATAGAGCTGGAAGAATGGCTGCCCATTCCTTAACTGCTAATGTGAAGCAGATTAGTTTTAGATCAGTTGATCTGCTTCTTAGTACATTAAGTGTGAGGGGAAAATAATATATATAAATAGGCCTGTGTGTTATGGCAATATTTATTCAAATGATTTTGTTTACACTGTATTTGGAGAAATATTTACTCTGTGGAAAGGGAGTGGGGGTTATACTCTGGAGTCTTATACAAGTAACAAAAACAAAAAATAAAAATGTTATGTTTCAGGAATGTGTTACAATTTTCAGAGGTTTAACACACACAGAAGGTGCTTCCATCCAGGTTCATCTTGGTTAAAGAAAATGAACTCTAATCAAGGATGTTCGCTTTTTTGGATGAGATATTGGTTATAATAATATAATAATCCTTGCATTCGACATAGCACTTTTCACATCTTCTAGACGTCTCAAAACGCTCCACAGAATATACTGTCACGTGAATTGACTGTACATTTTGCGGACGAAACGTGGAAGCCAATTGCGCAGCAGTGTCCCACAAACAGTCGTGGATTGAAGTGACCGATTTTATTATTGTTTTTCTTGAAGGCGTGTAGAGTCAGGAAAATTGCCCATTGTTTCGCCCTGCCAGGAATTGAACCCAGGTCTCTCGCTTGCAAGGCGAGTGCTCTAACCGCTGACCTACAGGACTCCGTTACAAAGACAAAAGCAGCTATGTTGAAACTTTCACTTGCATTCTTTTTTTTAAAAAAAAACCATGCCAGGCTCTAGCGCAACTTTGTGCCTTAAAAGTTCAAGCTGCACATTACAAATATGATTCAATCATTGCGATGTAAAAAAAATCTTTTAAGTTTAGGTGGAGCACATAGTTCTCTAAGGGTGAGGACTATAGCTTTTTATAGCTGTTCCTTGACCAGCTCCGCTGTACGAAATTAAAAACGGTTCCTTTTTCTCTATCTATAGATTTAAAATACAGTGAACTGTTGCAATTCCTACTGTGAAACTGAATGTTGGTCGATGTAGTGCAATTCTGAGGCAATTAACCACAAGTGATATCGAGTTGATTATTCATACTTCTCAATTGAACCAAGTGGCCACATGCTGGGGATTGAGGTTTGAAGGTGTTGCATCTTATGCAAACAATAGACATTTCAAATTATATTATTTAGTCGCTATTTGTATTTACTAATGCTGCTTTGCACGGGAGAAATATAGGTTGTTCTGTTAAAACTTGGGAATACCTTATTGCATACATCATGGGAAATTAAGTTGTGCTGTGACACAACATGGTGAATCGCGAGTTAAGTGCCAAGAGCACTTTCTGTTGCAGAGAGAGCTATAAGAAAATGAATCACCACGTTTGAGGTTTATGTTATTCAAAACATTAGTACAAAATTATTTGCAAGTACAATGCAGAATTACAAATGAGAAGTGGACTCTTGCTACTTCACAGGACTGCTATTGAGACATTTTCTAGACTGGATTGCGTACAAATTTTTTTTATTGGTTTTTGAAACCATTTACAAAACTTCAACAATATCTGTGAGCACTTTCAATAAAAAANCTCAGCTGAAATGCTATTCCAACATTATTGCACTACTGTTTCCCCGCCCCCCTCCCCCCCCCCCCACCCCCTCCCCCCCAGCAGTACAACAGATAAACACCATGGAAAATAAACAGGTCCTACGCTAAATAAAATTGTGGGTACAGGCAAGCATTACCTTATGGTGTAGTAAAGAGTTGGGGCTTGCGGTCAGTTTATGGGTTCATTTGATGTGCTTTAGTTACAATGACAACTGAAACCAGTTGATTCATGTCAGTCCATATTCATTAATGGCAATTACATAGCAAATAAAAACAGCAAATCACTTGGAATCCTTTCCATCGTAGTTTGCGAAATACTAATTCTCACAAAAATCAACTGAACATAATTGAAAACTGAACATATCCAACAAGGTCTAAGGTGAATTGTTAAAACTTCAAAAAGGTAAATAACTTGTAATGTTTATAACTGCACTTTCCTGGTCACTAACAAACCAGATTTATTTCAGCAAAAAAGTGGTTACAGAAATATACCTAGCACTGTACAATATAACTCAACACACATGCACACTTTGTGATCATTTATGAACATGGTGAAGCAAACTGAACTTTAAATTTTCATCCTGTTTTAATATTCTCGTACAAGAGAATAAAGGAAAACAATTATCTCATTGAGATCAATGTACATTGCTACATAAAACAATCAGATCTGTCATTCTCCCAAAGACATTTCACTTGTTTTTGTATATTGACTCATTTTCTAAATAGTATTCAATGAAAGTTTCGTTGGCTTGTAACTGCTGCATTTGTCCTAAGCGATGTGCCAGGTCAGAGACTCCCTTTAAGCATTTAGTGCAAAAAGAAATAAACTCACGTCTTACCGAAATTGGACTGAACCAAAATGCACCTTCAATATCATTTAAGGTGCAAATAGGTCAAAACTTCTGCTTGCAATGTTTAATTGCGCACGGTTAAAACTCAGCACCGATACAAATTGGAAAGCTTAATTCACCTGTCGCAATATTGACCAATTCAAGCTTAATAGACTGCAAACGTCATCTACTGCATGAATGAAACATCTTTGAAACATTGAAGATGCTGGTAAAATCCGAATCCGAATAAAATTTGTTCAGTCAGAATGCATCTCGAAAGGGCCTAGTTTATGGGAGGTTTACCAAAATGACGTTAAAATCTTTTTGCACTGCCCTGGAATACTCGTTAGGAAAAGGAATTATTCTGAAAACAATTACATGACACAGAATCCATAGAAATTACAAGACAGAAGGAAGCCATTCAAGCCTAGGCTGCGTGACATACATACACAAAATAAAATCAGAATTCAAGATTTTAAAGGTTTTCAGTGAATCAATACCACAAGGCCTTTAAATTGCCCATGGAGTTAAGCCATACACATTTAAAGCAATGACTGTACAACACAGTACCCAATGCAAACATTTAAAATGCCTTTATACCTAAATGCATTTTCCCATAAGGAACAAAATTCAAATCCATCATTATGGTGCAGTGTGGTACTGCAATCCCTCCCTTTGCTCCACCCCTGCACCGTTTAATTAAAACTTGAATAACCTTCATCGAACAACTATCAGCTTGGTTAAATATTGAATCAAGGTGAAAGATTTCCTTCTTGGTTACGCTAATTATGACCAGCTCAATCTGAATTTTTAGCGACAGTTACTATTTCAGACACTTCTGACAATTAGGCCCCAATAGAACTGCTATTTTCCTCCTGACTTTATTTTGCCTGCAGCTTCAAGTACCAACTTTAGAAAATCATCCTTCACATCCTAGGATAAAGTGGTTTTTATAAATGTAATTAATGCCAAATGTCTTTCTAAAACACTTCTCAAAAGAAAATGGGATGACTGCGCATCAATATGAATTAGTTACCTTAAAGCAATTAATATACTGAATTTAATGTACTTACTGCGATCACTGCCTATATGTATAGCTATCGTTCGCGAAAATCTGGCCTAAGAAATAGGCTACCCCGAGCTGAAATTTGTTCCAAAGCATCTGAGAATATCAGAGCTTGTAAAGAAGACAATTGTTTTGACGTTTGAGCAGTGAATCATGAACAAGAGTTGGGACACCGGTCTCAAAAAGCTGTACTGATGGCGACCATGTTTACTAACATTGGAATTTAGCTGTTGGTACACATCAATTTCTCATGCTCTATGAGTATTAGAGTTCACATCAGTAACAAACAGAATTAAGAATGTAACGCACAAGGAAAATATTTTGAGCCACTGACAGAAAGAGGCGTTAGCCTGTTTATGTTTTATTTGAAATAGCATGTTTATTAAGCTTTGCATTTATTGTTTAGAATATTTTATAAGTACAGTAAATTTGTTTTCTTCTTAGGCTAATACTGAAATAATCAAGCTTATGTGTGTATCACTCTCCCCTCTTTTGGATATCACTCACTCTGTGGAGTTGTCAATTTTCAGAGTTGCTGTTCATAGAAAGGATAAGCAAACATGAGACCATTTTACTTGCCTTGTCTGCTTTGGAGAAATCTTTGTCGGATTGGAGATGGATGGATGCAGGGGAAAAATGCAAAAGGGAAATTATATAAAAAATAAAATATGGAATTTTAAAATAAGGTTCATGTATAAAATGTAATCACTTAGCTAATTAATTACAATATGAAATATTGTAATTATGTTTATTGGTTCATGATTCCTCAGTAGAGTTGGAGCTATTGTTTCAGAAATTAACATGTTTTTGTGTGCTAATGTGAATTATTAAATGTGGTTAAAAACAAAATAAATCAAAAGCTTGGAAATGGTTTAACTCCTCCTGTACAACAGTCGGGAAATGTCATTCACATTTAGCCCTGCCAACTGTTTTGCCAGTTCTTTCACGGAGCTATGAGCTACACGGAATGAACATTTTCTATATTGGCCATTCTACATGGGTGCAATCTTCATGATCTGAAGAATTTAACCCTAACATTTGAGCCAATAAAGCTAAGTTTATCGGGAAAAAAAACAGAGCAAATCTGGAGCAGATGTTTTTCCAAATTGCTGTTTGAGAATTCCTATCATTAAAAATACAGGGAAACACCTTTCACTTGTAACCTGAATAATTCTATTTATCCATGTCTCAAGCCAAAGTTTGGGAAAGGAAAATCAATACCCTAATGAAATCCAATTTCAAGCTACAACTGCACTCTTGACTTTTAGAGATGGCAGATAAAATTCTTTGCAAGACTAGGTTTGACCAAATTTATTGGTGATGTTAGTAGTGTAAATATAACCAGCCAAGTTGTTTCACCTCCCCCACCCCAATTTGTTTTACTTTTTGTTTAAGTAGACAAACTCCAGCTTATGCAGCCTGATTCGTCATGAAGAACCTGGAAAATACTGACTGCCTTGCAAAGGTTTACCATAAATGTGACCAGTTAAAAAGACAATACTATATTAATGAATTAAAAAGACAAAGGTGGATGACAACAGAAGGCAATTGGTGGCTAATATGCATACATAAACCCAATGAAATACAGCTGCAACAGAGATTCTCATCACAAGGTTTTGTTCTGCAGTAACCTTTTAAGTCTCTTTTTTTATAGGTGTGTCAATTTGCCTCTTTTGGAAGCAATGTATAAAATCATGGGATAAAAATTCTGTTAAGAGTTACAATTCATTCATAAGCACTTGTTCTATCTCTGTCCCTGCGCATTATAGAGGCAATGCTTGGAATTACAGACACCATCAAAATATGCAGGATGGAGTGATGGAAAGAAAGTGCTTAGAAAGCTACAACACAATTCTTCTCATTAAAAAATATATTGTTAACATAAAAATTGGTGTTACAGGCTAACAAACCCAACAGAACATAAAATATCTGCTTGTGTAGAACTCACAAAGCTAAAATAAAGACACTTGGTTCAATTGTGCTTTAATTGCACCTACAGATTCAGATTTAATCAGTTTGCCTACCTCACCACATAACTAATCATGCTTTCAGTCAGAGCAGTGGAAGTTGAAGGGCGATGGGACTTGCACAGCTTGGACCCAGGCCTTGAGAGACCTTATCCACTGTACTAATGGGCTAGAGACTTGTACTTCAAATTAAAACCAGGTGTGTAAATGTACCTCGGATGTTGAAAAATATTTTTTTACTGTAGATAGCTTTGCAAACATTTGACAAACCATTCAATAGCAAAACTTGCTAAAATTATGTGAACTTATTACGGTAAATTATTGAGCTCTAGAATTAATTACAAATCACAGTGTCTGTGCACTATCACACTCCCTAACGGAATTTCAGTTCAATTCAAGTTACAATTCTGCTAATCTTCAAACACCTTTAAAAGTATATTTTCAAAATGAACTGCCTGAATTTGTTTTTAAAAGTTATCTTAAAATTTATATTACGATTGTGTTCAATGATTCACTCCCCTGACAGTGATGTATATATACTATGGAGGAATTCACCGGTAAATTAAAATTATTTAAAACTTGGGAATTTATTGTACTTTCACAATTTTGTCATTTAAAAAATATAGTTCTTTTAAACAAATCTGTTGCCCAATCTTTCTTTTAAAGGCATTGATTTACGCTTGAGTACAGTTCCATGGGACACCCTCCAATACCTCGAATGAGTGGCGATTTATGAACCGTGACAGAAAGTACGAGCAGGCTACTCATTTGTGGGGGGCAGTCAATCAAGCCTGTCATCAGACATTCAAACACACCCATCCACCAAGGAAGTAGTTAATAACTGAATAGAAGTGGGATCCATAGTCAATTTTCATCTTTCCAAAGATAGGCGGTTCAGGGCACTATTAGCACTCATCTCACGACTGTCTCAGCTAAAATCGGCTAACTCAGCACAGACAAGCAATTGAACTCAGGAACTTCATAGCCTGCAGGGTTTAGTGCCAGAGTGAATTTATCGACTGAGCTATCAGGGAAGCAGTTTTTTTTTAATATCAATTTACAAATGTTTAAGATACACAGTAGCCTACTTAAGATCAATTCCAATTTATTAGATCAAATAGACTATAGATTTACTATGTAAAGAGTTAAATGCAAATAGCCTGCATTGCAGGGTATATATTGTGTGATGTATCATAGCCTGTGAAAACATGGACTTTGTCAAACTTAGAGGGAAAAACACTGTCTGTTTTGTTCAGAAATCCAGGTTATAAATACAGTGTATTAATATATGTTAATACCAACAAAGCTCCTTCTCCCTTTCGACAATATTCTTATTTCAAAGACTCAGAGCTCTCTACTTATTTTTTCTCACCAGTGTATTTTCTTGATTATTTAATTTAATGCACTTTTCTTTGGGGATAAATATTAAAAGCAATTACTGTAACTTCGATCAAACTCTTTTTTGAGGTCTATTTATCTAAGGTCATTTGGATTAAAGCGAGGGTGAAATACCACTTTGCTCCTAGAAGCTGTTGGTGAGCTTATCAATATCTCAGGAATTAAAAGTAAAGAAAAAATGCAAATGCTGCATACCATCTGGCTTGTGAAAGTAGCTGAGTATTGCACCATTATCAATGATGTACTGTAAATGGAGCTCTTGATGGTTGCACATTGAACAATTCAACAAACATCAGCATTGTTGATGGTCCAAGGAATCCACTTCACTGTCACATAATCCTAAATGTCAGAGCAAGCTAAATGAACACTTAATAGTGTTCTCCATTCATCCTTTTATTTTGTGCTTTAAACCTTCTAGTTAGGGGCATCCCACATTATCTGCAGAACTCCATTCTGGTGACAATTATGAATGGAAAATGCTTACCCCTAGAATGGAACATCTTGATCTCACTGAAGGAAAACCTTTAACCCAAATGCCCACTTCTAGTCAACTACTAACACACAAAACACAGTAAAACGATATTTCCCCTTATAACTGTTCCGCAAACATACAGAATCTTCTTTCTATATGCAAGTCAGGTATTACTTTGATGGATAGCCAATAAGACCTTTCCGCACAGTGGCCAGTCAAAAAGTTATTGCAATTTAGGATGGCAGACTGTGAATTTAACCTTGAATTACCTTAAACTGTGGCAATTAAATTAGTTTGTAAATTTAGCTGGATGGCATACAACTGGTCTTCATGAAGGTAAATAGCAATAGAGCAGTTCAGTGAATGGAAACAATTTTGTACATGGGACAAGTTGATCTTGAGCACAGTTTGATCTCATTACAATTGTTCATAAATGGGGTCCTCTGCATTTACATTTCCTCCAGGAATCCAACTCACAGCCCTGTATGTAAATCAACGTAATTGCATTAAACAGATTAACGCTTTAACAACCTTATGTACATGTGCTTATATTTACAGTAAAACATGCATGAAGATATTTCAAATGCTGGCATCTAAAAATGAGATACATGTTTAAAAAAAAGTTAGAATTCTAGATATGAAACTTAAGTATTCAGAGCAGTAAGCTTTCTCCTAGAACACAACCCTTTTAGGAGCAAGTGTTTCTCTTAAGGCAGGCACTTCTGTTAGGCCAAATATGATGCGTCAGAAAATTCAATTTGTGGGCAGTATATTTAACAGTACTCTTTGATTTAACCCAACATTTCAACGGTAGGATGATCTTTACTTTCCATCCAATCAAATCCTGAAGACTGCATGGAGTTCATGGACTCATTACAGATTTGCTGGAACACTGCATCATCATTCAATTCCTCCAGTGTGGTATCAACGTCTTGTCCCTGTTGTTTACTCGGGTCAAACAGCAGATTTGTGTCTAAAGTGCTCAGATCATTTATGCTGCCTGAGAGCTCAGAGGACAACCTGAGTTCACTGGAGAAATCAGAGGCAACATTATTAAGATCTGATGGTACCTGACCAACCCCTTGCTGGTTTGATTGTAGGCTGTCTTCATCCAACAAGTCTTTGACTGTACTGTTGAAATCCAATGATTGCTCTCCGATTTCTGTTTGTGCTTGATTATTCCCAGAAGAATAACCCATGTGATCATTACTTGTGTGTTTTGTGAGGTAACTAGGCTTCTGGAAATCATAGACAGAAGGGCTTGAATTAACCATTGTTTGCTGGTTGGCACTACCAAAACTAGATGTTGTCTCCAAAATCTGCGTAAGATTCATCCTTGCTGTATAATTCGAGGGCATATTGTTCATTCCTAGACCTCTTACTGCATCATCACTGTCAGAGTCAAGCTTGTTTAACAACACGTTTGTAATTTTCTTAGTGTTGGTTTGCTTCTGATAAGATGGAAAAGGTGTTTGCATCATAACAGACAAAGGGACAGACTGGCTCCGCTGCGCCATACTGTTGGCACTGTTATTTGAAAGATTATTAGCGAAGATGTTATGAACTTCAAGAGTCACTGGGCTTCCAAAAGGTACCAAACTTGATCTTGGTAGGTTAGTCACTGGAACCAGAGTACTTCCACTAAGATTACGCTGACGAACAGCAGGACTGACACTGCGACACCTAAAGTTATTCATTACCGATGAATGGATGCCTTTGTTATCGAGGGGTGCTGGGACTGCAAAGCCTTCCTGCTTATTGCCATTCACCATAGAAGCTATGTGGTGCTGTAGGGGTGAACCTGGAGTCAAACGGCTCAATTGAGCATCGTGATGTCTGGTCTGAGACTGCATGGCGTTGTGCTGATATGACTGCATCGTTTGTCCAGGCACAGCAAAGGCGTGTGGTTTTCGAAAATGGTCCTCAGCCAGTTCCTGATAGCTTGGGATATTAACACCACTGGTAGAAACTGCAGGATTGCCTACTCCACTGTTGTATCCATTATTCATCCACTCAATTTTTGTTTTGTCAGGGTGAGTGGCCATCGGTCTCTGCATAGGCTTAACAGGGCTGCTGGAGACAACACTGGCATCATGGTATGCCATGCTGGAACTGATTGGAGTAAAAGCAAATGGGTTCCTGCATTCAACAGGACTAGGAGGCACACTGCTACTGCAATTTGAGTGAGGAGTGCCAATCGGTGTGTGTCTGCTGCTTCCAAGAGCACTATCTACCGGTGTTGTTTGAGCCATTCGGGAACTGGGACTTGAGCAAGCCTGAGATCCAATCATTTCTGATGTAGGTGTTGGATTAGGCGTAGGTGTCAGAGTTGGTGTGGGAGTTGGGGTTGGAGTGCCACTAGTATGCACTGAATGATAGAACTGTCCAGCTTGATGAGATGACATCAGTGTACCTTGCACTATTGTGGAATGACTATGAGGAGGTATTCCCAGACCAGTTCCGTAAGCATGAGCAGCATTCATTTGCTCCTCAAATAATACTAGTTCCTCTACAATACTGTCCTGCGTAAGATCATCATCAAACTGAAAGTAGTTCTCATTGGTTTGTGAACCTGAAGGTGCGAGTTCCACCAAATTATCCTGCAGAGGTATTTGGTTTGGGGTCTGTACTTGATTAAGTCCCTGCAACTGACCTGAAGTGGAACTCTGTAACTGGTTCTGAGGCTGCACATACTGTTCAAAAGACTGCTGCTCCAGTCCTTTGCACTGTACTGGCTCCCACACAGACACTTGAATGCCAGTTGTCCCAGAAGGCCCAATCAGGTTCGCATTGATAATTTGTTGCCCATCTGTGTTAGTCAAGAAATACTGGTGATTCTTGATATGTTGGACATCAGAATGATTATTAATCTTCTTTGCATTCCGGTCATCTTGCAGACTGAATGTACTAATTTCTATAGTTTTGTTTTCAGGAAAGCTAGATCTTGGTTCTTCAACAACTTGAAGGGAATCCAGGTTCCTTGCTTGAATATCGGAGGAAGGGTTTGCTAATATACGGGTTATTCCTGTAGTATTCAATTTCACAGTAACTTTACTCGGGGTCAGAATCGTTGCTGGTGCATTTTCATGTTTTACTTGCGAAGCTACAGACAAATTTTGCGTTGTCGTGACTGCAATGCTATTACATATCGTCTGATGGTCTGCACTACCTGAAGGGTGTTCTGAAAGCATAAGTTTCTTTACAGGAGTTCCTTGTGGTTCAAAGGCAGTAGTAGAGGGAGAGCGTTTTCTTGGGCTTTTGGGGCACATCAAGTTGTCTTTGTGAGCACTGGCAGTATCGACAGTACAATTCGAGTTAATGCTGGTGGTACAGAAATGTGAAACAGAAGAAATAGAAATAGTATTTTGATGACTGCTCGCAAGCGAAACTACCATATTTGCATTCGCTAGAAATTTGCCTTCATTTTTGGTCCGTTTTACTTCAGTTTTCTGACCAATGGAGACTTTTGAAATCTTCTCGTTGGCCATTTTCCCATTTGACATCTTCACTTTTGTGCTAGGTTCACCGTTACTCTTCTGACCACATGGAGAGGAAACAATGGTTCGTCTGGGATCCTTTGAACGAATTGAATGGTCTTGGCAATCAGTCTGGTTTTCATCAGTGAATATTGATTCATGCTCGGATTTAATGACCTCAGCAGTTGGGGTACTAGTGGCACTGCGTGTTTTGGAGCCAGCACTTGAAGGGCAGGCAGCTGAGCTGACTCTTAATGTCGGGCCAGTTTTTAATTTGTCAACCGTTGCAGCACTGTGATTTACTGCAGATAAAAGTTTTGGAGATGCAACAGTGTTGCCAGGTGGGAGAGATATTGGTGTCATCTTCACCATATTCAATGGGCTAACGTGGGTGGTTCCAGATACCACAGTTTTGATAGGGCTACTGGCCAAAAGCACTGTCGTTGGAGAGCTGAGAGTGAGTGCGTTGGTTGAGGCTGGTTTCGGCAAGATTTGATGGTAACGAGGTCTTGAGCGATCATTATGTGGACTGGCAGGAATGTTCTGGACAGTCTTCTGCTGTTGCTTGACTGATTGCATGTGCTGAGCAACAACCTGAACATTCAAAGGGAGGACCTTGCTGTCTGGTGAGCCTAACGGACTTGGCGATGTCATCAGTGGTCTGCTTCTTTGCACCTGCAATTGAAACATCAGATATGTGAAAATCAATTGATGGCAATCCATCATCAACTCATCCGAGAGAGACAAAAAATGCACGTCAACTTAAACTTCCGTGGTATCAAAAATGTTCCCGCCATCCTCAATTATTCAAGATATATCCAAATTATTTTTAAAAATGTAAATGAATTTGAACTGTGCCACAAACATATTCTTTTTGCTCACATTAATGTTCTCCCCCCACTTCTCATTTGGGTCACCCCAAGTAATACCATCTCGCTCATGCGATACTGTTGTAAAACTGCAATATTTGGAGTGATTTTCATTTTTGTGTGCTTTGGGATTTAAGCTCTTTGAGACGTCCTCCTGACGTTAAAAAAAAAACATAAATGTAAACTATATTGCATTTAGAAAAAAATAAGCTTGGTCAGGGTAATCAATAACATATCCGGTAAGTTCAAGCTAAACAAACAATAATTCAAAGCCCAAATAACACAATCTTTGTTGGTATCATTTCCCTTCTCCCTTCTTGCTTCCGTCTCATCATCCTACTGGAGTTTTCAATCGCAACACTGAAGTTAGGAGAAACCTACCTGAATAGGACTGGGAACAGTGGCCACCACAATGCCAATAGTAGGCTGAGGAGCGAGTAGAGCAGAGTTTCCATTGGGAATGTTGGTCACTCCAACAGTGGCACCTTCCACTCTCTTTATGTGCTGCTCTCCCGGAGACTGGAGTTTCTGCTCCTGTTGTTTCTTCAGCGTATTTTGTTGAATTTTACGCTGCAACTGTTGCTTGGCATCGACTGACGGGGAAGTTAGCAGAGTCTTCACCTGGGGCTGAAACGAACTGCTTTCAGCCATGGGCACAAATGCAGAAGGCTGACTAGCTTGTGTCACTCCTGTAGAAGAAAAAACAGTCATTACATGAACTTCTTTCTTTAGCTTTCCTAATGTCACTCTTTAGAACTTTAGGTTTCCCTCATCTGTCTGAAGATTAAACTTAGCCTCGCCTTGTGCCACCCATTTGGCATGGCTGAGAAAGATGGGGCAAACTTACATGCAATTACTTTGCAAACACACACACACACACACAACACGGGTGTTCTCAATCTTGCAATGTGCAGCTTTTAAGTAATTGATTCAATCGTTGATACAATTTGTTGGGTGTCTGACACACCCATCACCAAGTTTAAGTAACCAATACAAACAGATTTCCAGCATCCCACCTATATGGTGATTGTGTTAAGCAAATTTTCTATATTTCGTACAAAAGCAAACTACACCTGGGCAGACTGGCAGCTTGAACAGTGGATGCCTAAATTCCCAAGGGGATTCTAAAGTTATGTCCCCATTTCAACTCAGTATAAAACCCATCCATTATTCCTGGTTAATTCTCAGCAATTTTAAGTCATCATAATAAGACGTGTTGCGAGATGGAGATCAATCTTTGGAGATAAAGTCTGGCAAGAACCAGGCATGCCCACAGAAAAGCTAATCAGACTGACATTTACCAGGCTGGTGGATTTTTCATTCCATCAAACCAGCTGAAGAACTTTGACAGAAGGAAGCAGTTAGGTCTTAAAAGATGAAAATAAATGGTTGAAATGTAAATATCAAACATTCTGATTAAGGCATATTATTACTCACCTGAAGGTGCACCAGCCATCACAGACAACGCAGCAACAGATTTGGTACCAATATAATGACTGGCAACAAGGAAGCGAGCAAGATCAACAACTGAATCAAATTTTCGGATTAATACTTTCTGGGCCCATTCACACACCAGACTGCAAGCAGCAGATCTGACCTCTTCATCAATATTTTGCAGCTGCCCTGTAATGTCTGATCCATCAGACTAGAAACAAAATAAACAAACATCAGACTCCAGTTATAGCTACAGCAAGAATGTTTTTAAAATTCATCAAAAGAACTTGGACATCAAAATGCTTCAAGCTAAAATGCTTATTTAAAACAAATAAAAATTGGTTTGTTTCAGGTTACAATGACTTTCTGTCATAAAAGCTTTTAAAACTGGAGCTTCTTGGTCTAAAACACATACAAGACATTTAGCTACTCATACTTAGAGCTGGGGCAACTAGTGCCAAAGGCTATTTAACAACGATATGCACTGGGCCACATTTCAACCAACTGAAATGCAAAATAAGTGCATTTCAGATGGAGGGCACTGATGACATCTGTATAAAAGTCCAATGAAACAAAACATCTAAGAAAAGCTAAAGTTAAAGGAGAAATTAACAAGATGTGGCTTTATGAACACTAGGGATAAGGAAGACTGTTAAACCAAGACTATTGTGCATTACACAAAGATCGTAAAGGAACAGTGTTCCTAGCTGACTGAGTACTCATTTGTACACAATGGCTGAATGAGGGAAGAGCGTACATCTGGAATGCTATCCAGAAATGAAAAATAATTCTGTTGAATTAAATCCTAATTACGTGCAACTTACTGCAACAAATTCAGATTTTAACATATTCTATAGTAACTGTTTATCTTCATAGTTTAATAACAGTGATTGTGAATATACATTTACCCCATCTCCATTTTTGTGAAAATCCAGACAAGGTAGAGATGGCATGTGTACAAAAGCCTTTTTTCTCAATCCACTGTAGCAATACGTTTTAAGAAGTTAAGGATAAAAATATTTTTTTAAGAGTAAAAAAAAAGGGTACACATGGCGACAAAGTTCTGTAATAAAAATATGCTTCAAATGAACCGGCATTACTAAAAATCAAACTGAAACAAAAGAAGAATCTTTGAAAAGGATATTTAGATTTGCCTCTTGTGCCCAGACGTCGAGCCTTCATGTTTGGAAAGACATTCTTCATTATTTTTCCAAAGTCAGCTGCACTTAAAGAATGGTAGCCAAGATTGTCACAATAGCCTCTGGAAAATAAATGTAAAGTTCCATGTGGTCAACGAATCCCAAAACATGTGAACACCTAATGGTGGTCCCATGCTAGATTAACCCAGTAAATGCTCTTATAACAACTTGCATGAAGGGTAGCGTCTTAGAGCGCTTAACAGTGGCGGTGCCTGACTCCGAGATGGAGGTGACCATAAACACGGTTGAAAAGGAACTTAAGGAAATCAGAATTTGAGAAGATATGAAGTACTTTCAGTTGTATCAATTTTAGAAAACAGTGATTGCAAAAGGGAGGTATTTTGTGATTGCCTGGCCCAATAACTGGAGATTTCAGGATATATTGGCTTGGAAGCGTTCAACTGTCCAAAGAAACATCATGATATTCTAACATCACTACTTACTTATATTCATTATAGACTTCTTGTTTGGGCAGTGACGTATCTGGATGATCCTCCAAATGATTCCGGATCCAATTGAAAGCATGCGTTTGCTGGGTACGGCTGGATGTCAAAGAATTCGGATTGCTGCAATGAAACCAGAAGTTCATCAGGTTTTGTAAATATGGGCAACAATAAATGTTAATTCCTACCATGATGAATCAAGGAGCTGAGTAAATAATATTTCCTTCATTCAATTGCAACTCATTTTTCTGTAAATCAAAACTAGTATGTGTAGAATATTTTACATATTTGTTGTTTAAACTTATTTTGTTGGCCTCTCTATCTCCACCCAGCAAAAGCTGTCGAAATATGTTCATCTTGTGTTCCCGCCCAAACTAAGCCACAAACACATCTATTTACCCCTATCTTTACCAAGCTTTACTTGGTGCCTGTCATGTTGCTGTTGCTGAAATGCTAAGTAGAGAGCTGAGACACAATATTAATAGTATTTGTTTTTACCTTTTGTCTCCATTGGTGGTACCAGAAGGCAACTGAAGGTAGAGGTAGAGTTTTTCTAGATCTGTAAACTTCATCACTTCTTGCTGCAAACAGAACCAAGTCTTAATTTAAATATATATTTTCGAGAAGTAAATTATGAAACACACAGAATAAGAAGAAACTACAAAAAAAATTAGGTAAAACCAAGGAGATTTACTACTTTGCTAAGGAGGAAAAAGGAGGTGAATTGCTGCCTCAAAAATAAGATTAATTTCTCATATTGCACTCTACATCATTAGGCGCATATTTGTGTCTATTAATCTGCCTTTTCTTTATATAATACAACTAGCAGAATGCTTTCAAATAATCATAATTGTCAACTGAATTATTAGTGTGATATGTTATACTGTGTTGCCACCTGCCTATTTTAAATTAAAATGTCATAATTGCAGACCAAGAAGTGTAATACCTTTTAACCTCAGCCTTGAAAAGTAGACACATGTGAACCTGATAGTCTCCAGGCCCAAACCCAACAAACTCAAACTCCTAAATACAACACTACACGACTGCCTATCTATGTCCATCAGTCCACAGGTCTGACTATTCAAATGTAAGGAATTGAGAAAGAATTGAGAAATGGATTCTGATCACCAATCCTTCTTTGAAAGAATGAAAGAATTCATTTTTATATTTTCTTTTACCCTTTGTAGGTTATTTTGCGCTTAAAAATATATATTATGTACGAACACGTACAAAATGCAATAAGATTTGCTTGGGGTATAGTGCCTTATCACATCATCGGAACATCTCAAAGAGCATTACAGGATTTTTTTTTACTGTGAAGCAACTTTATTTTGTAGGGGAACATGGCAGCCAATTTGTCCCACAAACAGGGAGAAGCTCCTTTCTCTTCTTGACAAGTGTCATCTTTAATGTCCACCTGATCAGGCAAATGTATGCATAGATAATGCTGGAGGCACCCTGCACCCTTGTCAATATTAATTCACCTCAGATAGTTATATTCAGCTACTACTCTGATCTGGGTACCCCTATCAACACAAAAGATTGAATCAAAAGGAATTGGTTATCACAATTGCTGATGGATTCCTAAAATGCAGATTGTATCTTCATTATAGGATGATGTGGATTGCAGATCACAATCTAAGAAGATTGCAGAGCAGGCTTGAAAAGCCAAGAGTCTTGTCATTCCTATTTACTTAAAAGATTTTTTTTGTGTTGCTATATTCTCCATTTTCAGTTGACCTCTTCCAGATCCAGTAGAAGAGTAAAATTTGATAGTGAGTCATCTCATCTCCTCACAGTTTGGACCAGCAGTATTCCATTGAAAACTGGCTCAAGGTACATGCAGATGCACTCGGATGTGAACAAAGTTAGCAATCTGCTAATGTTGCACACGTATTATGTTACTGTGAGTACATCTCGAAGACCAAAAACACCAAAGATTTTTCAGAGTGGGAAGGCACTGCGAAATGAGAGCTAAATCTTGAGGAAATAAACTGGCTTTTCACCAAAGCTGAGTGCTTCTACATCATATGTAGAACCTAACAGAAACTTAAGAGAACGTTGTTTTGGAAGTGGAGTTGGATGCATTTAAACTCATTCTTAAACTTCTACTTTTTGTCTCCGATAGAGCAAAAGATACCACTGTTTTTCATCTCTGCCTTAATTCCATCTAAGCCTAGATCGCTCAGTCCCTGTGCGTGTTTAAAAATGTTCGATGTCCCCTCCCATGAAAATATTAATTTTCACTTATTTATCACAAAAGGTACATTTTCAGGTGATGAGATGATGGCTTGCAATTATATATGATAAATTTTATATAATATGTAATCCACATTTGTATTTCTGTTCTGTTTGCAAATAACAGTGGTGCATTACATATAATGCAATTAATTTGTGTTAGCTGACAGTGTGAGAAGCAGTTTTGCTCAGGCCATGATAGCTTAGTCTAGGTTTATGAGCGTTGCTGAGAGCTCAATCATTCTGGTGTTTACTACATTGTTTGCCAGATTAAACACATTTTACTGCATCCCAAATTGACCTGGCTACCTACAACTGTGACACAGACATGACTGTGAATCAGACTGGCCTTTTGTTGGTTGCAAATTCAGCCTCTCTAAGATCAATATTCAGTCAGTCAAAAGGGCTTTTCCCACAATATCTTGCATCCACCTCCAAAAATAGATGGTGGAAGCTGCAAAGAAGCTTAAAAAAAAGTAGGATAGGACAGATTATGTGTAAGAATTTTTTTTAATATAACCATTTAGAAAAGAAGGTTAAAAAGGAATGAAATCACAAAGTATATTTTTAAACCTCCTCCACCTACCTGACCTCCCCCTAAAACTCTCTGAACCCGTACGCAACCTAGGCGTCAGGTTCGACCCCCAATTATCCTTCCTCCCCCATATCCGGTCCCTCACCAGCACCGCTTTCTTCCACCTCCGACACATTGCCCGTCTCCGCCAATACCTCTCTCCAAAAGCCACTGAAACCCTGGTCCATGCCTTTGTCACCTCTCGGCTGGACTATTCTGACGCCCTCCTCGCCGGTCTCCCATCTACTACCGTCCACAAAATCCAGATTATTCAAAACTCTGCCGCCTGCATTCTCACCCGCACCAAACTCCGCTCCCCGATTACCCCAGTCCTTGCCAGACTGCACTGGCTGCCTGTCCCAGAGAGGATCGACTTCAAGATCCTCACCATCGTCTTCAAATCCCTCCACTCCTCTGCACTCCCCGACCTCTCTGATCTCCTCTCTCCTCATAACAGTGCCCATTGCCTTCGTTCCTCCCGGTCTGGCCTCCTCCTCGTCCCCCGAGTCCTCCACTCCACCCTCGACAGCCGTGCCTTCAGTCACTATACCCCGAGGCTCTGGAACTCCCTTCCTCACTCCCTTCATCTCGCCTCCTCTCTTCCTATTTTCAGGTCTCTGCTGAAGACCTTTCTTTTCGACTGCGCCTTTGGTCATCTTCCTCCCCCTCCCGCTGGCTGGGTCCCGGGATCCATTACTGTGAAGCGCTTTGAGACGCCGTCCAGGGTGGAGGGCACTATATAAATCCAAGTTGGTGTTGTCGTTAAGCTTAAAAAAGGTCAATAATTATTAACTTTTTAGGGCTAATATTACAGCAATAACTATTCCTAATATTTAACCTTATTATTGCAGCATCAATATTGCTGTCAGAGTAACTGTAGGAGCTAAACTGCACATTAACTACACAGTCAATAGAGACAGGTATTTTACTAAAACTGTCATCATGATTTAAAAGAAAAAAGAAAAAAAGGTCAGCAACATAAATTCAGAACACTGTAAATATTCAAATTGTTGAATTCACATAAAGCAATTTATACTCACCAAAATGCAATCCACTTTTGATTGTACTGTTTTGCTGTGTAAAGAAATAAAATTAATCAGTGGCACAACATGTAATTACAGCTAATGCTGGCAATGAGAACAACACCATTTGCAATGTTTACAGCAGTGAAACGATAATGATACTAGATTTTATAGTTTTGCAATATCCATGCATATTATCACTGAAAACATTTTAACATCACTAAAATCCGAAAGAAATCTTCTTGCCATTTTGTTTAGTTATTTATCAGGGTTGATATTCTGGTGTTTGCCGAGCTTTGTTACTCTATTGGCATTGTATTTGGCATTACTGAAAATTTACAGAAATCCTGGACCTAATCATACTCAGGTTAAATATATTTTTAAAAACTTGCACATGGTAGAATGAAACAACCATAACATAAAGGGCTAGAGTTTCAATGAAACATCACCTGTCAGAAAATACCATATTTTCCACAAAAAAGGCTGCCTGTTCTAATACTAATCTTGTCTCAATTAGAATTGCTTACATGATTCAAAGCTGAACGGAACAACTGAGCAATATAAAAGTCACAGAAAGGAATACTTCACCAACCAAGATACCGATTAAAAAAAAAACATCTGCAGTAGCGCAAAACAGGAAAGCAGAAAATAGTTTATTTCAGGTCATCAATCGAAAACTGTCAATTATAATCAAAAACAAAAAGCGATACAGAATCTGCTCAAAGGTGCAGTACAACTCAAAAACAACAACAACTTGCATTGATTGATTGGTTCAGTATCAAATCTGAATCTTTAATGTGTCGCAGAATGAGTTGGACATATTTAACATTGTGATTTTAATCATAAAAGATTTTTTGGGGTTTTAAAAAAATGCTATTGTGTTGGCACTATCGCTGCAATGATTTTAAAAAGAAAACCCACTGTCACTTTCTCAATGTCATCATCACCCACATCCAAAGAGTAGAAAAACAACTGCATGTAGCAGTACATATTCTCTGCAACTAGAGGGAGGTTAACAAGCGCACAGTGTAACTGGGGCCTCCAGCGGTTGAAATTCAGTAGTACACGGCCTGATCACTTTGATCAGATCCTGGCCAAAATGCCCAAGGGGTTATTCAATCCCCCGGAATACATTATGAAATCATACAGCCGTATCGAGGTCTATTCTGCTGATACAAACAATTCTGATGAAGCATGACAGAGATATTTTAGAAATCCTACACATTGTTTCAAAACCGTCCAACTGCAAGAATAAAACTAAAATCTATACTTGACCATATTGTACTGGCTTTCTCTGCAATTTCCCTTCCCCGCTTCAAACTTTCTGCTCATTACAAATATTCCTCCTTTCCTTTACTCCGTATTACGCCTCAAATGCAGACAAAGGCAATCATTTTGCATTGTATTTTAATTTAGTCCATCGCAGTTTTTTTGTGTTGTTAAAAAAATTATTTTAATTCCAATTATCTATATCTTTCTCCAGTCACTTGCTTATCACTTGCAGATACATTGTCCCATCAGGCCTATCGCCACAATTAATAAGGTACTTTTTCCTAATTTTAGTGAGTTAGTTTGATGGTAACTCCCAATATCTAAACTTACATCCATTGGCTCAACTCTCATCTGGAGAACAGCCTGCTTTTCAGACTCATATCTCTCATCTATCTTTCCCTTAATACAGTCACAAACATCACTGTGTAATTGAAGAGCTCTCAGCAAAACCAGAAAAGTCAGTTTGCCAAACATCCTCAATTCCTCCAGCTACTCTCGCTTTCCTCAATACTGCAGCAGTAAGTAGCCTCGCAAAAAGGGAACAATTGGGACGGATGAAATGAAGCAGCTATTAATTTAGCATTTAGCAAACTGAATAATTTGAAAAAATACCCATTGCTATTCAGTAAATCAATTTATGCATCCCCGAATAATGCCATGCAAAATGTCAGAGATTACTGCATGTCAAGCAAATAATTTCAAACAATTTATACTGTTTATGTTTCTCATATGGCTTTTAACCCCACAGGGTAATAGTTTCTTTTTACGGTTAATTTTTGAACTAATGTCATAACAGGTCAGATCTTGGTTTTCATTTTAGAATACTTTTTATTCAATGCTTGATTTTTCCCAAGTACTATTCCGTTAAGTTACAAAGTTAAAAACTTGCATTTATTCTGTAGCTAACAATAAATCTTATCTCTGAGGTTGTAACAATTAATAGTGTGCAAACCAATCCCCCTCTTAAAAAACATTAATACAGTTGTAAAGCTGCTGAAGAAATCAAGGTACCTCAGTCAAATGTAGAGGAATGAAATCAGGGCCAAACAATCCCTAATAGTTCCCACTAAAATTGAAATCTAACTTAAAAAATACTTCTCATTTCCCAGAATAATGTTCACAACTTCCAGTTCTAGTTTGTAAGAAGAAATGTTCAATGTTCGCCAGAATGTGTGCCAGGTGACACTAGGTGTTGGGAGGAAAAATGCAGTGCGCAACGGTGAGGATCAGTCTTCATGTATGAGCCCGGGCAGCTGAACAGTCAGTCAGTAATGGCAGACTATACAACTGTGTGTGGGATTGGGGACGGGGGACGGGGGGGACGGGGGAAGAAAAAGAATATCAGCCTGTTCCAATCTAGTCCTCATCCAATGTCGATACATACTTTCCAACGGTATCATGCTCTTCAGAACCTCGATTCAACAGCAGATTGCCAGAATACGACCAGAAAAGTACCTGCAATCGTTGTTAATGATATAATAATAATAATCCGTGGATTTAATGCACGGCTTTATCACGTCGACGAGATGTCTCAAAAGTGTTGCATGGGATTTACTGTAAGTGGAGTGACTGTATTTTTCAGGCAAACTGCAGCCAACTTGCACACAAGAGTATCCCGCAAACAGCGATGTGCTAAAATCTCATCAACTCGCCCAATCCATCTGCTCGGCAGGTACTCGCCCGTATCAAGACCCTACCCTGCCAGCCCCACGATTGCTGGTCAGCCCTTCAGCCTCTCTGCCCCCACCCTCCGGAACTCCATGCTGGTGTCCCTTCGCCTCTCGCCTTCCCGAGCCTCCCTCAAGGTCCACCTCAAGACATGAAAGGCAATCTATAAATGCAATTTGTTGTTGTTTCAACCTCCGAAACACTGGCAATGTTAAGAAATCTGACAAAAGTAACAATCGGGAGGCATAACTAACTACGAGATTAATAATTAACTCAATGAATCATGTAGAAATTAACTAACAAACAGCAAGTCAAAGAGATTTATCCAGAAGTGAAATGGAGCGACTGCCAATGTAAGACAAAAGAACTGAGAAGCAATTTAGAGCAAGGCGGTGTAGTTACTGCTAGGGTGTAAAGTGTTAAAGCAACAGGATACCCTATGTTTTCGCCATTGAGTACAAGCATATATTCCTATCTGCAATCTGAGTGAACAATAGGGGAAGTGTATTCTCTTTTTGTTTCTGGGTTTACCCGTATCCTCCACCCGCCCCACTAGTTTATTAAATATACTGCAACAAGTGACTTTACAGACATGTTATTGAAGGAAGCATTGCTCAGCCACTCAAGACAATAGAGAATCTGGCACTATATTAGTTTCTTTTCTGTTTGAATAATCTGACAATTGTAAATGCCTTCAGAAAAACGCAAACGTTTATTGCCTCTAGATATTTCTCCTACAGTGGTATAGCATTACAGCAGATCATCTTAATTATTAAGATTTTCACAACTGTCCCATTTCAATGACTTACAGCACTGCCTAAATTGCCCCAAAACTAGAAGTGCATAGTCACAGGTTATTTAAACCTTTCCTCGCGGCACCTGAGCTACCTGGTGAATTTTTATCTCCCCTTTAAGAATAAAAGCAAGCTTAACAAAAGCAATAGATCGCAGGCCTACCACCAGTTCCTCAAAGGTTCAACAAAATTAATTTCTCAAAGCATCAGAATCCATTGTGTTTAGTGCAGCCCCTCGAGAAATCCTATTCCAAACAAATTAAATGATTCACTCCATTTTGTACACCCAAAATATTTTGGTTTGCTTCACTCTTGCTGGCCTGTGCACATTAAATGTATAGCTAGAAATTTTCAACAGGTTAAGTGCAAGGTGCAAGTCTCAAATAAAACCTCACTTAAGGCTGCTGTTAATCTTATTCTCAAGTATACAAAGCTTGCTGTTTAAACTGCCTAATACAGTAGTTAATTACATAATTCAAATATTCGATTTGTCAATTCACTTTTCGGTATATTTTGTGAAGCGCTTTGAGATGCCTCGAAAATGTGATAAGGCTCTCCAACAACAACAACAACTTGGATTTATATAGCGCCCTCCACGCCGGACGGCGTCTCAGAGCGCTTTACAGTAACGGATCCCAGGACTGAGCCAGGGGGAGGGGGAGGAAGGTGACCAAAGGCGCGGTCGAAAAGAAAGGTCTTCAGCAGAGACCTGAAAATGGGAAGGGAGGGAGCGAGGCGAATAGAGTGAGGAAGGCAGTCCCAAATCAACTCAAGTGATGAACCGCCAAGATGAGACTTTCTCTGAAGACAATCCCAACACATGGCAACATGATTTGTCAACAGGATTTGCAAACCGAATCCGTACTTCTGTCTACTCTTTCCCGATATATATTCCTTTTGAACGATTTTCATAAAGTTATTATTACCATATAGGCAAAAAAGGGTAAACCTTTAAATACTAGGGTGACAATTAATATAGCAGGGCACCTCCACTGATCCGGGCCTGTTAAAGATTAAATGACGAGAAAATGCTGGCAGAAAAGATGGGCCAAAGGCAGCATAGACAATGGCTGGATAGGCAATGTACCCACAAAGACAGTTACTCCATTTCAGGCAGTAAGATAATTACACCTACACCAATATTAACCAGAATACGTGAATATACAGAGCAGAAACAGGCCATTCGGCCCAACTGGTCTATGCCGGTGTTTATGCTCCACATGAGCCTCCTCCTGCCCTTCCTCAACTAAGCCTTCAAACATAACCTTCTATTCCTTTCTCCCTCATGTACCTATCGAGCTTTCCCTTAAATACATCTATGCTATTTGCCTCAACAACTCCTTGTGGGAGCATGTTCCACATTCCCACTACTCTCTGTGTGAAGAAATTTCTTCTAACTTCCCTATTTGATCTATTTGTGACTTTTATATTGATGGCCCCTGATATTGGTTTCCCCCACACGTGGAAACATCTTCCCTATGTCCACCTTATCAAAACCTCTCAGCATTTTAAAGACCTCTATCAGGTCACCCCTTGCCCTCCTATTTTCAAGAGAAAAGAGTCCAAATATGTTCAGCCTTTCCATAACCTCTCAGTTCTGGGATCATCCTTGTGAATCTCCTTTGCACCCTCTCCAGTGCCTCTACATCCCTTCTATAATGTGGGGACCAGAACTGCACACAGTATTCTAAGTGTGGTCTAACCAAGGTTCTACAGAAGTTTACCATAACTTCTCTGCTTTTCATTTCCATGCCTCTAGAAATGAACACCAATGCCTGGTTTGCTTTTTTTATGGCCTTATTAACCTGCGTTGCTAGTTTTAGTGAATCGTGTATGTGTACCCCTAGGTCCCTTTGCTCCTCTACCCCATTTAGGTTTTTATTTTCTAGGATGTATGCAACTTCCTTATTCCTTCTACCAATATGTACCACCTCACACTTTTCTACATTGAAATGCATTTGCCATTTGTATTAACTATTCCCCCAAATTTGGTGTCATCCGCAAATTTTTAAATTGTGCTGCTGATTCCCGAATCCAAATCAATAATGTATATTGTGAACAACAGTGGTCCGAATCCTGATCCTTGTGGAACACCATTGACCACCCCCTGCCAGTCTGAGTAGCTATCCTTTACCCCTACTCTGATTTCTGTTTTGCAGCCAGCTTGCTATCCATTTTGCTATTTTTGCCCTGACTCCACATGCTCATTAGTCTATTATGTGGTACTTTATCGAACACCTTTTGGAAACCTTATCGCATGCTCAGATGAGCCGAACATACATAGTATGTGCATAATAGGAGATCACTATTGGTTATCGCGATGCAACACAATCTCCAGAAGAATCGCTAAATGAAAAAAGATTAAGGTCCATCCATTCTGCCTTCTACCATCCAGATAGTCACATGCTGCAATAATGAAGATGTTGATAGCACCCAAGCAATAGTTTTTTTTGTTGTTTTCCCTCTTCTTCAAGGGACAAAATCATTCTGTGATCACCATCCCATTAGTTCCAACCAGACTTTAGTACCTCCCTCACCCAAATCACCCCATACTCCATGCACGGCCCTAGATATAGGTTTAAGCAATTCAAAAAAGTTCACTGTGTGAAGGGCAATATATAAATGCAAGCTGTTGTGTACATTTTGGGTTGACAAGATATTCGAATACGAGCTGAGCCCAATTTAAAGAAGATTTTCTTCTTCCCTTACGCTGGTCACCGGGGCAAATTACAGCAACCCTGCTGCAGCCCCAGTTCATGCAGCACAGTGGTATTTCTGAATAATATGAGGTAACTGTCTTTACAAGTGGAAATTGTTGCACTGTAACAATTAAGACTGCAACAATGATTTGGGACGTGTAACAAGTACAATTTATTACATCCCCTTCTCTTCTCCATCATTCCTGAATTCCTCTGCCCAACATCAGTATTCTTCAACAACAATAACAACAACAAAATTACATTTGTATAGCGCCTTTCACGTGGGGAGGACAGTCAGTATTTCAGACCCGAGCTGGGGTTCGGGATTGGGGAGGGCAGGGAAGGAAGCAGGGTGATTGAAAGCACGGTCAATGAGGAGGATCTTGAGATGGGTCTTGAAAGGGGACAAGGGAGGGGGTAATGTCTTATTTTGCCTTCTCTCCTGTCAGCTTCTGTTATTTTCCACCACACAATTGAGTGCAAATGGATTTAGCTTTGAAATACTTCCATACTTCATGCTGCCATATTTCATGAGTTCCATATTCAATACTTTCAGATCTATCATCGCAAATTGGTAATTGCTACTGAATTTTTTGAGGTGCACGGCACAAATAATAGTGTCTTCAGAGATGACACACTATGCAGTAGCGAACAATAGAAAGAGCACAATGTAGAGAATTGTAATAGATTTTTGCACCTAGCATTTTGTCTGTACTTTCAATTCAAAGTAGTTCATTATCAGGAAGAAGCTTAATGGAAGAACAGAGTTCAAATTAATTTTAGGCCAATAATATGTACAACTTGTGCAGCCATAAATCTACAGGCTAAAAATGGATGAAGAGACCCACATTCAAATAATCGTTGTATATAGTTAAATTGTATTTAGCCAAGAAAACCTAGTGGCACTAAAACTTCAATCTCGGCACTGAGAATAATACCCTGCTTCAAAAAAAGTTACTAAATTAGCCCTCCTGATGGCTCAACAGGTTTTGTTCAGTGAGTAGCTTAGCCATAGAGATCCCAGGGTCACTCCCAGATCTATTCCGAGTTACCTGATCTTTAGCAAGTGGAACTTTGGGGGCATGAGTATGGTGGAGGTGCCAGGTAGGAAAGGTGAGGAAAAAATTCCAACAGGATTCTCACTCCTGACAGTCAGGTGGAAGTGTACATGCCCCCACCCCACCACCCCCTCCTTCCACACACACCTTCAGGAAAGTTGTGAAGTAAATTGGCAAGAGAGCGTAAAACTATTTACACTAAGTGAACCTGTGAAAATTAAGGACTAAACTATGATAAAACATTAATACTACAGTGCACTTATGAATCATACCAAAACAAAAATAGGTCCAATAAAGATATTGTACTAAATATTTTGAGGCATGATCATGAATTACGAATAACTGTGCAAGAATTGTTTAATATATATATATTCCTTTTATGAATTTTTGAGATGGCAAACCACCAATTAATGATAAATATCTACCAACAATATTTTGCCTGTTTTTTTTTGAAATGATAGCGTTTCCCAGATAGATCCTGCCTTTCTACTTTGACGCATCCTTTCAGAACAGCCAGAAGTTAACAAGCTTGACCCTATTAATATTTCCCCCCCTCATAAAAATAAATTGCCCTTGGAACAATTACCATCACTTTCTGCTAATCTGTACCTTCAGCACATCATCGAGAACCAACCTCGACGTAACGTCTGGTCACATTAACACGTAAAAATATATATTTTTTAACACAAAAAAAAAACTCTTTTGTGACTATATATACACGCACACACGCGCGCGCGCGCACATACATCCACATATATAACATTTTAAATGATAACTAATAATAATATTCCTAATAATAAATAATAATAATCCAAAAATAATCCTAGATGACATTAAATCATGAAAAAAAAATTAAACACCCATCACCAACACCCCCCCCCCCAAAAAAAAAACATGAATACAGTACAGTATATTAATACACGGTGGGGGGGGGGGGGTGAGGGGGTGACATAAAGCAAACAAAATACAAGTTAGGTCCAATTATTTATATCCAACTTCGATGTGGGGGGGGGGGGGGGGGTGGGGGAGAGAGAGAGAGAGGGAGAGGGGGAGAGAGAGAGGGAGAGGGAGATAAGAGAGTTAAAGAGATAAAGAGAGAGAGAGAGAGAGACATTATCTCCCAACAGTAGAGATCTTACACTGAACACATAATGTCTCTCTGTGGTTGTGGTCGAAGGGACAGACAGACAGACAGAGAGAGAGGGAGACAGACAGACAGACAGACAGAGAGGGAGACAGACAGACAGTGAGGGAGACAGACAGAGAGACAGACAGAGGGGGGGGGGTGGGGGTGTGTGTGTGGGGGGGGGGGGGTTGTTTATGAAGGTAAGAAGGAAAGAGGAGGAGGAGGGGGGGGAAGGCCCTGGTGTTATTTTAATGGCTCACCAGATGGAGTTTTTCAGTTTCTGCTGCAGTGCACTGGCCTCCGACTCCGCCAACCCGGGTACCATGGAGGGCAAAGCCCCGGCCTTGTCGAGCTTCTCCAGCGGCTGCTGCGGCGGCTGGTGATGGTGGCCCGGCTCTGGTGTTTGCTGCTGCTGCTCCTCAGCCATGATGATGGGAATGATGGTGGTGGTGGTGGAGTGGAGGAGTGAGGGAGAGGGAGGAGAGGAGGAGAGAGATGTTGGGGGGCGGGGGTGGGGTGGGGGGGGGGAGAGCTCCCAGTAAGTTCAAGCCGAGGTGCGATGGGAAAGCCAGAGAGGGAGGAGGGAGGGAGGGGAGGGAAGGAAGGAAGGAAGAAAGAAGGGGGAGGAAGGGGTAGATAAGAGGAGGAGGAGGAGGAGTGAGGGAGGGAAGGAGTGAGGAAAAGGGGGTGAAGAGAGAGAGAGAGAGAGAGACGCACAAGCGACTAGGCCGCAAACACGACCGGCCTGTAGTAGTAGAGCAGCACCCGCTAAAACCAGCCTCTTGGCGGACACCCTTCCCTCCCTCCCTCCCTCCCTCCCCCCCACCACCACCACCACACACACTCCTTCCCTCTGTCTCTCTCTCTCTCTCTCTTCCTTCCCTCTTTTCTTCTCTCTCTCTCTCTCTCTCTCTCTGGCCCTCTCCTCCCTCAAACCGCCGCCGCCGCCTGGACCTCACCCGGACACCGTTGGCCGCTCAGGGCCTCCATGATTTCGGCAGCCGAACCACCGGGGGCTTCTGTTTACCCCACCTCCCTCCCTCCTTCCTTTCCTCCCTTCCTTCCTTCCTTCCCTCCTTCCTTCTCCCTCTCTCTCTCTCTGACTTAATATTTTTCTCTCTCTCTCTCTATTCCACACCCCCCTCCCCTCCCTCTCTCTCTCCCTCTCTCTCAAAAACAACCCCTCCTCCTCACACACACGTCAAAAAAAAAACTCTTCTCTTCTTTCTTCTTCTTCTTCTTCTCTTTCTCTCGCTCTCTCTTCTCTTCCTCTCTTTCTTTCTCTTCTCCTTCTCTTTCTCTCCCTCTCTCTCTCCCTCTCTCTCTCGCTCTTCCTTCTCTTCTCTTCTTCTTTCCGTGCAATGTGTTTTCCTCTCTCTTTTTTTATTATTGCATGAAATTAATTTTGATCTCTTGTTACGTTGTTATATTTTTTATAGAAAAAAAGAGAAAAATCAAACCCATTGACGTTTTTTGTGTGGGGGTGTGTGTGTGTGTGTGTGTGAGGGGGGGGTTTCACCCCCCAAAAAAATCAAATCAAATCATCGAATTTTCACCCCCAAAAACCTCAAAACAAAACAATATATATATTAATATACATATATATAATTCTCGAGGATAAAAGTGCGATTGCCCTCTCGAAAGGCGTTTTCGAAGCTTATTTTTTTCTGTATAATATATAATATATTTTAGGAGGGGAGGAGGGTAAGGATTAAAGAGAGAGAGAGAGGGGGGGAAATATATAGATATATTTTTTTTTCCTTTTTTAAAAAAAAATGTAAAAAAAAGTTTGAGAACCCTCCCAACGCAGACAACGACTCTATTCCTCTCTTCTCTTCCCTCTCTGTCCTCTTCTTTCTCTCTTTCTCTACCTTCAATCACAGCGCAAGCGCCGTGCGGTAAAAGTGTGAGTGGAAGAAGTTGGTGGGGGGAAGGGGGGGAGAGGGGGGGGGGGGGGGTAGGAAGAGAGAGTGAAGGAGAAAGGGGATTGGGGAAAGGGAGAGCAGAGGGTGGGTAAGAAGTGAGGGATTTTGCAATGGGGGTTGTGGGGGAGTGTGTGGGGAGGGGTGGGAGTGAGTGTGTGTGGTGGGGGTGGGGGGTGGGGGGAGTGTGTAGGGAGGGGGGTGTCAATGGGCCACTTGTGTTGCCACCTTCCCTTCCCATCACCGCCCTCGCTGTCTGATCCCTCTCACTCCGGCTCTCTCCGCACCACCCCTCACGGAGGGTTGTCCGAGGCAGTGCGGAGAACGACAAGAGGAGAGCCAGAGATAGGTGTCAGCCTTCCAATGCTTTGCCCAAATTTACACGTCTTCAAGTGTGAGCCTAGATGGTAAATACCATTCAAACATAAGCGGCCGTCACAGTTCACTCGGATCTGGTCTCCATCCTGAATATTGTAGTTTTGGAGAGAGGACAGCGTAGTTTTTTATTTGGAATGAATGGATTCAGCTATCAAAAAAGATTGGTTTGAGATAGGCTGTAGCTTCCGCTCTGGAAAAGAGACAATTGAGAGGGGGCTCAAAAGAGATGTTTAAGATAATGAAAGGTTTCAACAAGTTTATTTACAAGTATGATAGCTGGTAAATCTAAATTAGGAGTTTAGGAGGAACTTCTTTATACGGGGGAAGGGTGAGAATGTGGAACTCACTGCCGGAAGCTATGGTTGAAGCACAAAATATCAACATATTGAAGAGGAGACATGAGTGGAAAAGGAAAAGAGGGGTAAGGAGGGAAATAGGAGGTGTGAGTGCTTGTGTGAAGTATAAATCCCAACACAGACTATTTGGGCCAAATAGTCATGTCCTTCTAGGTTAATCAGCGTTATTTATGTGTGCACTTCTATTGGCATTGCTGCAATTGTATTTGGTAACCACTGCTGTGACACCAATGGTATGTTTAAACCTCTGTTCGTGACTCATGAACGATGCAATTCAATGAGTCAAATCAGATTTGGTCATATATAAGAGTGTATAGATTTGCAGCCTTCGGTGGAGACAGGAACGTTTGTAAAAACCGACTCAACAACAACAACTTGCACTTATATCCAAGCAGGATAACGTCTCAGAGCACTTAAGTGACCCAGGTGATGGGAGAGCAAAACACACTGAGCAATACAGTACTGACAAACCATAAGAGGTATTGGGAATATCACACAGAGCGCTCAATAATTGTCTGTCGTATCCAGAAGTACAAAGCAAACTGTTTTTGTTCATTCTGTTTTTCCACCATAAACTCTCACCTTGAAGTAGCCTTTTCTCGTTGGGAAAGTGAACCAGTCCAAATCAGAGTTTTGCATAATCTTTGCAATGACACACAAAACTTGTAAGGTACATCATTTCAATTTTCATTTATAAATAATAATAATCCTTGCATTTGATATAGAGCTTTTCACGTCTTCTCAACTCTTCAAAGCGCTTCACAGAATAATAATAATAATAATCCTTGCATTTGATATAGCGCTTTTCACGTCAGGAGGACGTCCCAAAGCGCTTCACAGAACACACTGTAAATTGAATTGACTGTATATTTGAAACGCAGCAGCCAATTGCGCACAGCAGTGTCCCACAAACAGTCGTGGATTGAAAATGACCAATTTATTATTGTTTTGGTTTGGAGGGATTATTATTAGGCATGTGGAGTAAAGAAACTTGTCCAAGGTTTCGCCCTGCCTGGAATTTAACCCAGCTGTCTGGCTTGCAAGGCGAATGCTCTAACCACTGAGCTACAGGACTCCACTGTCATCATGTCATTGAACCTCAGTCACTTGGTCACTCATGGCTTCATTCTTTGGTTGCATCTGCTTTACAATGGTTGTCTGATGCTGAAAATATACTCTTGATTGTTAATTATTAAATGTAAGCCGTCTCTTCCCTTTGACTTTGTTTTTCACATTTTTCTTTGGTTTTCACATTCAAAGTCATGTTGCTTTGTTGTTTGCAAAGAAAGCAAGGAGCTACTTACTTATAGCAATGAAGGTTTTCACAATAAGTAGATGTTTTTTCCATAGAACTTGGAGACATCTGTAAAATATCTTATTCAAATCACAAATTCGAGTTTTCTATATATGAAGATAATCTTCAAATAGGGAAAACAGATGAAGGGGCCGCCAACATTTCAGTCGGTCTAGTTTTGTTTAGTCTGGTCAATTATCTGATTTTGGCTTCATTCAGTGAAGTCCGGCAAACTCCAAAATAGACATAACAATGTAGATTGAAAACACATTGGGCCTAAGAAAATTTAAGATAGGCCTAAGGTTAATGCAGCTGACAGTTTTGTTCATCAAAAAGATTAGACCCAAATAGTAAGTTATTGGTAATTTATTGTAGAAGTTGTTCTGCGGGATAAGAGTATTTCTGTGAACCGCCCTGTTCGCTCCCTCCACTCAGCGGGCTCCAGCCTGCTTCACGTCCCCCACCTTGCTCGCCCCACTATCGGCGGGTGGGCCTTCCACCACTCTGCACCCATCCTCTGGAACTCCATCCCACATCCCTCTGTCTCACCTCCTCCCTCGCCACCTTCAAGACCCACCTCAAGACCCTCCTCTTCGACTGTGCTTTTGATCTCCCTGCTTCCCCCCACTACCCTCCCCCACCAAAACCCTCACCTCGGGTCCGTAACTGTGTCTGTCCAGCGCCTTGGGACGTCCTCCCGACGTGAAAGGTGCTTAACAAATGTAATTTTGTTGTTGTTTTAAAGGTCTTTAAAGGGATCCCTGTCTGGCACTGTTGGTTTAGCACTAAAATGCTATATACTATAATGAGAGACTGTTGGAACTCCACCATGATTCCCTATGCTTTGAGATCCTGATTTCAACTGGTCTGTGCATTGGAATGACCCAGCCATGTTCCCAGGGGATATGTTAAAACATGAGTCAACTCGCAATCCTCTTCACTTTGCAGTTTAATGCAATGTTGACAAGGTCAAAGGAGAATGGTCTTGTACGACAGCAATCTCCGGCAGAGGCCTGCATGTGTGGTTGTTGCATGATAATGTGTGGATGTTTACACCTCCCCATAAACCCCCCCCCCCCCCCCCCCCCGCCCATTCAATGATCTACTTATCCTCAGTGATAAGACTCAGAAGTGAACAATGAGCACGATTCTGCACAGTAACCAGGATTCGTAGAATTTTACCTTAAATAAAAGAAACGAGTCCAATGCCTTCATGAGGGGAGGGCATCTTCATTCGACATTAGTTATGCAATTTCCAACTTGCAATGGATTTTTTGTTTGAGGAGCGATGACGCCATTGAAACAAGACTTTTTATTCCGAAGAACATTTCAGAAAATAGATTTCTTGTTGCCTTTGAGAAACCGATTTCCAGTCGTATGCAAAAGAGGTTTATTCTCTAAATCAGTCACAAAATTTGCAAAGAACCCTTTCAGACTCCTCTCATGTAACAGAACATCATATTTCTCTGCTTCTTCAACGTCTTTGTGCCTTCACCTCAAATGGCAGATTCTCTTTGTTAAAATTTACCATAGAACAGACGTGTTTTGTTTTTGGTCTCCGTAGCCTTGGGGGATGAAAAGAACCCGTAAGTAATTGTTGAAGTGAGGCTGACAAAGATTAACAACTACAAGTTAATCTAACCTGTGCCAAGTACCTAAGTACTCTCACTGAGGATAGATTTCCCAGGTCAGTCTATATCCACTTTACACCTTGTGGAGCTGTCACACTATTTTGATTTCTTATTTGGTGGCTATGGGTGGCAGATGTGCTTAAAATATATAGGAATCTCTTGATCACATTCTCACACTTATCAACACTTCTTTAAAACCAAGAGAGAGGGCACAGGGTAAAGCTTTATAGATGTTCAAAACCTTTTCAAATTCTGTTTGAGAATACTTCTTTAGCTGTTCTAAATATGTGTGTGAATAATTTTATTTGTTTAGCATTCCTTCACAGGTCCTATGCAGCAAAATTGCATTTGTAACAGTGACACATTTTCAAAAAAAATTACATAGCTTTAGATAGAATGTAAATAGGCCGTTTGATCCAACTAGTCTTTGCTGGTGTTAATTCTCCACATGAGCCTCCATCCTTCATATTCCACTCTATTCTCTTCTCCCTCACTTATGCATCAAGTTTCCTCTTAAATACATTAATGTTTTTTACTTCAACCACAGCTTCCAGCAGTGAGTGAATGTCAGCCTTCAGGCTCAAAAGTCCTGATGTGGGGCTTAAAGCCACAACCTTCTCACTCTGAGGTGAGAGTGCAACCAGGTACCAGGCTGATACCATAAAATAATAATAATAATAATAATCCTTGCATTTGATATACTGCTTTTCACGTCTTCTAGACGTCTCAAAGCGTTTCACAGAATATACTGTAAAGTGACTGTATATTTGTGGGCGAAACATGGCAGATCTTATTACAAACATGGTCTTGCTCCCCCTACCTCTGCGCCATCCTAACTTCCTACCATCCTGCCCGCTCCCTTGGCTCAGTGGGCTCCGGCCTGCTTCACGTCCCCCATTTCGCCTACCCCACCATTGGCCGGTGGGCCTTCTGCCACTCTTTCCCCACCCTCTGGAATTCCATCCCGCAGTCCCTCCACCTCGCCCCCTCCCTTGCTTTCTTCAAGGCCCATCTCAAGACCCTCCTCTTCGACTGTGCTTTCGGTCACCCTGCTTCCCCCCCTGCCCTCCACCCTCCCCAATCCAGACCCACAGCTCGGGTCCGAAACTCTGTCTGTCCAGCGTCTTGGGATGTCTTCCTGACGTGAACGGCGCTGTACAAATGTAGTTTTGTTGTTGTTACGAGTATTCGGTCTGAAACAAGCTGATCGATTTACTGCAAAAGGAATTATTTTATTTTGAGATGGAATGAATGGCCGTCATAATAATCTTTAGCATTACTGAGCAACAATAATAGTAATAATAATAATCATAATTTGAAAACACATTAAATAATCAGCTGTTGGACTGTAGTTTGTCACTCCAGTCCAATTTATTTTTAGCTGTTTTGCAAATGGAAAAAGCTTATTAATGGAACTTTGAAACAGCATCAGTATCTGGGGCAGTCGTTGCAAAAGCAGACAAGGCACGAACACAATAATAATATAATAATAATCCTTGCATTGGAGACCGGCGCCTCGTCACGTCGCCGTTGCGACGTCCTCAAAGCGCCTCACAGAATATACTGCGAAGTGGATCGACTGTGTATCTATCTTTCGTGGGGGCGAAACGAAGCACCAGCTCCATGTTGAACACCTCTCTGAGTGACGGGGGCTCCAGCTTTCTCAAGTGACATAAAATCAGGGGGCTCTGGCTTCTCCCCACCAAGTAGTCCTGTGACTCCACCCCCTCGAGTCTGAGTGACAGGGTATCGGCTCCACCCCCTCGCGTCTGAGTGACAGAGTATCGGACTCCACCCCTCGAATCTGAGTGACAGGGTATCGGGCTCCACCCCTCGAGTCTGAGTGACAGGGTATCGGGCTCCACCCCTCGAGTCTGAGTGACAGGGTATCGGGCTCCACCCCTCGAGTCTGAGTGACAGGGTATCGGGCTCCACCCCTCGAGTCTGAGTGACAGGGTATCCGGGCCCACCCCCTTGTTGAGTGGCACGGGTCATGTGGCTCCTCCCACCCCCACCCCCCCTTGTCGAGCGACGCGGGTCGTGTGGCTCCTCCCCTCTGGCCTGAGTGACACGGTTCTGGCTCCGCCCACTCTTCGGTTGGCGTCGGTTATTTTGAATTTGTCGCGAGCGGCGGCCCGCGCTCCGGCGGCGGGGAGACGCTGTGAGACCGAGAGGCGGCGGCGGGGCGGTGTGTGGGGCGGGGGGATGAGCGCGGGCCGGAGGTTGGCGGCGTCGCAGGTAAACGGACAAAACCTATTCCGCGATGGTCGCCCGAAAGCAACAACGGGAGCCTGGGTTTGTTTAATGTCTGTCACCGACACCATCGGTTGCCCTGGCAATGGTTACTGTGCTGAGGCCTCCCTCCCGCCCCTTCAATCAGCCGGGAGGGGGGGGGCACTGGAGAGGGTGGTGGTGGGGGGGCACTGGAGAGGGTGGTGGGGCACTGGAGAGAGGGGTGGGGGGGCACTGGAGAGGGGGGTGGGGGCACTGGAGAGGGTGGTGGTGGGGGGGCACTGGAGAGGGTGGTGGTGTGGGGGGCACTGGAGAGAGGGGTGGGGGGAGCACTGGAGTGGGTGGTGTGGGGGCACTGGAGAAGGTGGTGGTGTGGGGGCACTGGAGAGGGTGGTGGTGGGGGCACTGGAGAGAGGGGTGGTGGGGACACTGGAGAGGGGGTGGTGGGGGGGCCTCTGGAAGAAAGGGTCCCTCTGGAGGAAGGGGGGCCTCTGGAGGAGGGGAGGCCCTGGAAAAAGGGGGGCCACTGGAGTGGGGGGGGGGGGCACTGGAGAAATTTTTCGACAAGTTTTGAAAATGGAGAGGGCAGAGATCCTTCTATAATGTCTGCTTGCTTCCACTTAAATAAGTTTAAAAAGCTCTGAGGCTCCCACAACTCCTGACAGTACTGCCGTTTGAATATCTGCGATTATCTGTGAGAAACGTACCTTGAAATTTGGCAATGTTGTTTGACAGTACTGTTTGGAAAATGTCTTTTTAACCTCGATATTTTCTATTGTAATTACACCAAGGTAAAGGACTTTGTACCTGCTAGATCAAACATCCATCCATCTTCAGCACCAGCAATGAAACAGCGTCCAAGAGATCTGCTGGCCAAGGAAGAAGAATACAAGTATAACACCTTTTTGAATGAAACAAACAATATGTTTAATGTTGCATTTTATGTCCTATAATGTGACTGGTAGGTGGTGGGGGGGGGGGTAGGGGGAGAGATGGTAAGAGCTGAGCTGGAATTGAGTCAACCCTACTGTGGTGGTCTCGGTTGTCCAGTACAGTATTCCAGGGCACTACTGGTGACAGACCAGCCAGCCCGGCTCATCAGGCTGGGTGAGGCTGGCTAATGGGTGCAGGATTCGTGCCATTGCCTCTTGTTAACCCTGGAAGACAAAGGTCTAACAAGTAAGGCGGTCCTAGCAGCGAGAAGTTTGCCAGACAATGCTCTCAGTCAGCAAGCTGTACAATTTTAATTGGTTGAATTCCAGCAATCCTGAATACACATTGTGGGGTCCTCAAGCCTTGTCTTTCACCAACCTGCTACGAATAGGCTCAAGACCCTCCTCTTCAACCGTACTTTCGATCTCTCTGCTTCCCCCCCGTCCTTCATCCTTCCTGACCCCAACCCCCAGCTCGGGTCCGTAACTCTGTCTGTCCAGCGCCTCGGTATGACCTCCCGATGTGAAAGGCGCTATACAAATGTAATTTTGTTGTTGTTGTAATACTCTGTGGAATTAAGTAAGCAGGGTGCAATCCTCTAGGGAGGGAGACTGCATTCCATTCCTGTAACAATAACTTGCATTTATATAGCACCCATAACATGTTGAAGCGCTTCACAGTGGAGGGGTTGGGCACCGAGTTGGGGATGAGGGGATGGGATTTGAAGATAGACAGAGAGAGTGAGTTGGAGGGATAGTGGCAACTTTGATAATTAGTCTGGAGTTGTTTGTAATTGAAATCTAAATTTGTCATCATCGAATATTTCTAAAATAAATTCTACAATTTGTTAGGCGATTAAATGCAGAACTTGAAGCAAAAACAGCTGAGCTGGTCCGCCAGGCTGAAGAAGTTATGGTAAGTGCAGCCAATGATTTAGAGACTGGATTTAGAAATTTACTGCTCTCTGCAGAGGATGTTCCTTCATTTTTCTCCTATTTCCTCCCTTCCTGTTTTGACTCACTTTCTTATGCTGGGATATCATTGTATGGTTTCCATCAACCTATTGGCCATTCTTTATGTGCGCGCCTTGGCAATTAGTGTTTTTACAATGATTGCCCTTGTTTGGGAGAAATGTTCTGAGGAAGGTTGGTTCCAGATTTTTTTGCAATAATTTGTGTCAATATTTATATTATTTTATATGTATCTAGAAGGGACAAGAAAAAATGCTGTCTAAACCAGTATCGTCTCATATTGGAACTGATATCCTAGAAGATGACGAGAAACTAAGGTACGATAATTGGGCATTAAATAAAATGAAAGAATTGTTAAGCAGGAAAGTTTGGAATAATGAATGTTCTCCAACTGTTTCTTTCCTTACTTCACAAAATGGAGTCTGATATTCCATAGATGTTATTAATAGTAATAATAATACTTACGTGTAGTATAGGCCTTTCATGTCGATAGGATGTCCCAAAGCTCCTCACAGGATACTCTGTAAAGAAGAGTGACAAACGTGTATTATCGCACTTAACCAGATTGAGTCTCTTGTAGCTGATTACTGTACATCTAAAGATGGTGACCCCATTGCAGTGTTGATGTGGTTCATATTTTAAAAAGGGTTTTGAAGTCTTGCTAAGCTTTTTATTTGTTATTCATTTGCATTGATGGTATCAAGATAAATAATTCATATTCATTGAGCTTTTCTCTACTTTTGATAAGCATCTGCAAGAGAAAATTGCTTTAGAAGTTGAATGCAGCAATAAGACAGATTAATTTGGTGATAAGGTTTTCTAATGATTTAAAAATGCACATATGACTAAAAAATATATGTACAAGGATGCTCATTTTCTGCACTGAGTTTCTGAAGTCAGTAGGCTCCTCGTTATTTGAGAACAGAAATAACATAACAATTTTATTCTATAGTCAATGAATAATCCGTACAGGACCTTATCCCCTGTATTTTACCAATTCCAAGTAACAATTACCCTCTTAATGTTTTTTTTTCCCTAGAGAATTCCTTTCCTCTGATGTAACATCTCTTGAAAGTAAAGTATCAAAGGTATTAACAGAAGTGTATTCACATCAGCTTTTTCAGATAATTCATTGATTAGGTTTGGACATAAAGGATTTAAACTCATCAGTTTTTAATGACATAGATTATTAAATATTGGTAAAGATTGTTAAAACCTGCACTGTAAAACTTGTGTCCTTTCAAAACACTTTCAACTTTGATAAGGAAGCATTAGCAGCTATGTCACTTTTGTTCTTTGTTCTCCTCAGAATAAGAATAAGGTTGGATTGAAAGCCACACAGCATAGCAGACCATGTTCAGCAAATAAAGGCAAGAAAGTGACAAAGTACAGTATATTTTATATCTATAAATCTAATTCATCTTGGTTTTAAAAAGTTGAACTTCATTAAAATGCAAGCTTAGAAACATAACCACATTTAACTGTTTTAATAAGATAATTAGTTGTAGATTAATTCTAAACAAAAGTGACATTTGAATGCTATTGGCACAGTGGAGAACACACTGGCAATCTACAAACGGGTGATCAGAGGTTTGATTTCCTCCTGCTTTGCTGAATTCCTAGTTTCGGGCAAACCACTGTGGGGAAACAGCAGTTTCCTGCCAAATCCACACTGTTATGCAAGAGATGCTGGTAGAGAGGGGAATGGGTGGATAATGAAATAGAATCGAGAGAAGGGTTATATGTCTTCAAAAAAACTGGTACTTTGCAATGCATAGAATCAATTCACAGCAAATCAGAATGACTTGAGCTTTAAATGGTTATGTTACAAATGAATAATGTATGTTTTCAATCTTTAGGATAAGTGCAGTGTTAGAAAAAAAATATTCATAGTTTTATGAATAGATTCAATGTAAGCCTTGAGAATTTAATATATATTTCCTGGCATTTATCACATCAATCAAGAGGAAAAAAAACATTTTATAATAAGGTCCTTTTGGATATGTGGATTAGGTGTAAGAATTTGTGGAATTTCTAGGTACCCTTTTAATAGGTGTACTAATGATCCAGTCAAGAAATGCGTCTAACTTTGAAAGCTCAGATGGTAATATCAAAAGGAATTTTCACATCTGAAAACAGCCAAATGTATTACTGAAATTGTGAATTTTTGAAATAATTGAGAACATGTGTTGGCTCACATTTACATTCACTCTGTAAATTCAAGCCTGATTAATGTCTGATGCTAAAATACAGTTAAATAGCCAATAGTATTGTTAGTCTAAGGCTTTTTCTATGTTATTTATTTTATTGTACATGACAGCCAATTTTAATTCACTAATGTACTGTGACATGCTTGGCAAAATTTGCCAAGTTGCAAATTTATTTACCTATTTTGAACTGTGTTTTCTTCTTAACATTTGCACTTTGGAGATTCTTAATTCTAAATTGATGAAAAAGTTGATATGCTGAACTGTAGATAGGAAGGTCAGTTCTCATGGGTTCATTTTTTTTAACTTTTAGTGTAAAACACAAAGCTACTGAATTGCATGCAGCTGATGATGTTGCAGTTCCAGCAGACAACTCTGATTTTTCCCTTGTAAAGATAATACATGAGATTGAAGGTAAACTGGAGGATGGCTCGCTTGTTGAAGTGGAAGATGATGTGATGCCCAGTGCATGCAATGAAATGGGAACAGGTGGGTTTGACCTTGTGCAGTTGTTAGTCTGCATTATTAATTCTGGTTGTTTGGAGAAAATGCATGTATGGACACTGGGTGGAAAAATAATTGAATTAATTTGTTTTGATAGTTAGAGGTGAAGATGAATACTGCTGTATCATTGGCAGCTATATTTTAGGAAATTATTATCAACATTTGATATACTTTGAATCTTATTTAAAGAAGACCTGTAACTTGACTTTATTTATACAAATTAGTTTGTGTTTTGAACTGCAATGGCAGTTTAATATTGTATTTAAGAGGTGTCAAGACTGAGGCTTATATAATACGTTTTTACTATAGTCTGCAGTATGAATGTACTTCCTTATCATTATGCAGTTCTTTCTTTTTAATGTGTTAATACTTTTATCAGTGATTCATTAATGATTCATATTTTAATATATTAAGACATTCTTGTTATTTGCAGAAAGAATTACGAAAATCCATAATTATTTAATCTGAATTCACAGAGGCCCAGATTCGATTTCTGAAAGCAAAGCTACGAGTAATGCAGGAAGAATTGGATAAATTGGTTCATGAGTATAACAAGAAGGTAAGAATTGAAATACAAGTTACACAGAGTAGTAGTAGTTATATTCCTAGTCTATATCAAATGCAAGGATTATTATTATTATTATTTTCGGTGTTATATTTATTTCCTGCCCATGACAGGAATTGTGGGATTTAAAATTCATTTCCCGTTCCTAACCCAGGAGCACAAAGCCAATTGTAACACTCCAAATGTTGCTCCGGCTGTGATCAGATAACTTATATTCTACCCATGACTTTCTGATCTAATCTGTAGCCTTGATGCATTATTCACTAAGTGGTTGTAATGGTCGATCAGTATTCCTATTTCGCAAATCTGTTGTGAATGCACAAATTCGTGATTTATTTACATATTGATCCAGCTTTCTCCACTTTGCATCACTAACTTTGCCTTTCATTGTTGAATAAAATTTTAGTGAGCATTTCAATTGGTAATAATAGTTCCAATAGAAATCTAATGGTAAGGATATTTCCTACTCAGTATCTTATGGTCTCTTATTCTGTTGGTGAAAAATAGGATGATGAAAACACTACTTTGAGCAACCGGCTGAAAGACACAGAGGACGAACGGAGCAGATTACAGAAAACAGCTGGCATTCAGCAGACACAAATCGAAAAATACAAACACTTGGCAGATGAGGCACACCAGAAAAGTGATGGACTGCAGCAGCAACTGTCTTCTTTACAAAAGGTATCTGTTCTGCATTACAATGACGTCTGAGAAAATTCACCTCCTGTAGAAGACCATTGTCTTTTCTGAGTTTGTTTAGTTTTCCCAGGATGGAGGTGTGGTACCATCTGTTTCCCAGTCATCCTTCTCAAGGCCTGATGACCCCATTGCCGTTACCCATTAACACTAACCATCAGTGCATGGCAATTATATGGCATTCTTAATCCAGTAGAACCTGCAATTTTTGTTGCCCTGTTAACTGAATCCCTTGAGAGCTAATAGTTTGTACGTTATAACTATATTATGAGCAGAAAAATGTTTTGAAGTTAACCAGAATTGAGTTACTTTGATTATTGGTACAGAGGAGAAAAAGTGGGAAACTTGATAGTTTTTCATAACTTAAATATTTCATGTGGGTTAAACTTTAGTGTGTGTTATCGCTTTTGAAAATCTTATGTTTAAAAAAAACTTCCAAACCCGAGATGATTTTTAAAAATATGAATGTTAGCAGAATACACTTATTGCAAAATATTTTCCAATCTAAAGTGCTACATTTTGCTTCCCTAACAGTTTATTGTGCAATAGCCAATAAAAATAAAGAGGATCACAAAGAGTATCAGAGAGATTTCAGTACTTGTTTCAGTTTTAAAATCTAACATGCAACACAAACATGGTGACTGTACTGAAGGGAGGTTATGATTTTAACCTCTATTTGTCAGCTAGTGTTCAAACCATGTGAGAGACTCAGCAAGGAAGGGAACAGGTTACCAAGGGTAACCTATAAGGATCTGCCCATGACTGGGTCCACTGCTCAGATGTCCATACAGCAGCTGTTTTTTTTAGTTTTTAAGATATTTTAAATCTTCTTTGCCAAAGGTTAGCAGAAAAAAATATTTGTTGTTTAACAAATTATCGATTTAAAGTTGCAAAGTGATATGAGGAGAATTGAACTAGTCTCTCTAAAAGAGTAGTTCAGTCTTGCTGAGGAGCCAAAACGTAGACGTTTTAATGAATATTGTTCCAGAATAAAATTGTTGAGCAACTCAACTGAAGCAGGATAAAATTAAATATCAAGTAAAAATAGCCTTGAGGAGTCAAGAGGAGAGTTATAGACACATGTGGCCGTGTTGTTGATAGGCTTTCTGTTTGTTGCTATTATTTCACACAAGTGAATTGCTACTCAATATCTTAAGTTGTCAAATGTTAGTTGCACAGTTATTTCAAAAAAACGCTCTTTGTATTTTTACTTTACATTCTCTATAATCAGAAATATATTTTTACAAAAATTAAGTAAAACAAAGGTAGCTTTTGGAGGATAGTGTTAGTTTACAAATACACTAAGAATAGAAATTCAGGCTGGATTGGACGTGCTATTTATTTCAATTCAGATATTTGTCTAATTATAACTTAGATTGATGCAAATATCATTTTAGGGCAAAATGCACACTGCTTCCTCAATTGTAGGATTTTACAGTCTCTATTTACTTGTGATTATTCAAACTGATTCTAAAATAAAGAAGTGGAATGGAAGAACAGAGTTTAGGGAGGGCTGAAGTTTCCATGTTGCCAGTAGTGCAGATTGATCCCGCTTCTGGCTGTAACGCAATTTTCCACATGGTAGATGCTGTAAAAATAACTACTGGTAAATTTCCAGCTTATCCTCTCTCCCCTCTCTTGACTACCACTATGGCTTGGAAAAATGATTGATGATGAATAAAGGGGTAGGTGAATAGTACAGTATTACTGACCCAAAGTTACATTTACCACAAGTAATGATGGCCTGAGATCTGCTATTAATGAGCCCAAAAATATTTTGGACTAATTAAACAAGTGAGCTCCAGCAAAAATAGGGTTTATAATATAATTCAGCACTGAGAGGTTGTCTCACTCAGAGAAGCTATAAAGCAAACTGGTCAGACATGTTAATAACACTAATCACCAATGAACAGAAATGCGGGTGATTCAGTGATCCTTTTCATTGGTTAACTGCATAATTAAATGTTATAATTTGACTTTAACAATGGTCAACCCATAAATTAAACAACAGCTCAAAAAATAGCTTATGGACTATAAGACACATTTGTATTTTTGTCCCCAAATTACAATTACATTTTTTAAAAAACAAAGTGGCTTGTTGCTGCCATCTGCTGGTGAGTAGGTAGAATTCCTATTGATTCTTAAGAGATTTTTATACTTATCTTTTTATTTTCTTGCCAAAACTTGTTTTTAATTTTCTGCCTTATTCCCTTTACTGGAAGGTAACTTAACTCGTTTTTCTCCCACTATGATACAGTTCCAATTGTAAAACTTCTCCATTCCATCCCTAGCTAGTGCTATTTTCGAGTAATATAAATGCTGTATCATGCACAGAAGTTGCCTTCAGCAGTAATAATAATAATAATTCTCCAATTGGGATTTATAGCAGGGCTTGTTTAAAAGGTTAGTTATATCAGAAAATACTGCCTTATTTAATTAAATCCACTACCCAATAATTAGCTTAACTGATGCTCAATCTGCTGATGGCAAGCTTTTACCGCTGTGTTGAACCAATAATGGAAAATAAGACCTGGCATTAGCAGTTCCTCAGCAAGAATTTGTGTCAATTCTGCCGTTTTCTGCGTGTCACTAAGCTGACATAAACATCACATATAAAATAGGGTCAGTAATTTTCAGAACTATTATGTATATCTAGAGTGGGTGCACCATTAATAAGATTGATTAATAGCAAACACAATTTCCTGTCATTTATCATCTTAAAAATATTCCAGAAATGTTCATAGTCGTACATTGCCTGTTGTAGGATTTGGAGAGCCTGAAGAGGAGCCAGAGACAGAACATCACAAACCAGAATGCCACAGAAGTTCGTCTGAACAGGGCACTAGAAGAAGTTGAAAAATACAAGACTGAGCTAAATAAACTGAAGCAGGGCAATAAGGTAACGTATAAAGTTCATACTTAGTTCTCCAGTTAACACAGACATGAGTACTTTCAAGGACTTGCTAATGTTGGGTTCATAACCATATTGCCAGAATGTCTTTTGAATAGATGACACAAAAGGCTTATACTTTTTTTAAAAAATGCATAAATGCCATTTTTAGAAAGCTATTAACATAGAGCACACACTAAATGTTTCTGTTTAACATCAGGACACAGCTAATCAAGACAGAGGAAAGATTGAACAGCTGAAGACAGAAAACAAGAGGTTGGAGAAGCAGAAAGCTGAACTAATGACAGGATTTAAAAAGCAGCTGAAGCTAATAGATATTCTTAAAAGGCAAAAGGTAAGCTGTGAGTTTTCAGAAGATAATTTCATTTTCAATATTAGTATGTTTACAATGACAATAATTTTGTTTGGAGTTTTGAAACCATGTTTGTGCTTCAGTACATGTAAAAGACTTAAATGATAACTTATAACAGCAGTATGAGAATTATAGGATTTTCATTTTTTACAGATGCATATAGAAGCCGCTAAGATGCTCTCCTTCACTGAAGAGGAATTTATCAAAGCATTGGAATGGGGAAACTGATTAGAATAGAAAGCTGGCTTTGCAAAATATAAATTTAGTAGTGATTGTGTGTTGAATCATTTTTGTTTGTGATTAAAACTTATACGCTGTTCTACCAATTTAACTTTTTTTTAAGGATTATTGATGTGTTTTGAGATGTTTTGAAGTTGCAACAGAAGGCACCATAAAAATGCAAACCTTTCTTTCACATAGCAATGCATCAAATGGAGGAGGGTTTGTTACTGGTTTTCATTTAATGTTTGATTTAATTTTCTCCTTCCCATGCAAAGCACAAACACTGAATCCTGAGTTTAGAGAGTGGGAGCAAAATGTTTGAAAACTTGCCCACCAGTGGTGGGTTGGGTAAGACCAGGTGATGCTCACTGGGCAGAGTGGCCAGGGCAATATGTTCTCTCTGCCTCCTTATTTGTTTTACAGTCAAATTTCACTGTAATGAACCCCCTTGAGACCGTCAGAAAAGATTGTTATATCAGGGTGTTCACTATAGTCAGAGTTAAAGAGGTGCATCTCCGAGCCGACCTCCCAGATACTTTGTGATCTCACCAGCGGTCCGAGAACTCAGTCAGGTTTGCCAAGCCAGCGAGCAACAGCCCTCAGGAGCGCACATCGGTAGCAGCTGCCATCATCCCAGCCTCTTCAGCTGAAGGCCACCCGCGACCCCCTCACCACAGCGCCAAGAGGCCAGCCTACTCACCGTCCGATCACATGCTTGGGCTGAAGGACCATTGAGGGCGAGACGATTCAAAATAAAAAGCGAAGCCAATGAAATTCTGCTCTGAAGCACCAGTAACAAGCCTGGTTTGCAGTTTGTGCCCAGAAATCCATTGTTGTGTCCGGGTTGGTCATGTTTAAGTGTCTCTTGTGCTAAGACTCATTTCCACTGAAAATAATCGGGTTTTGCTGTTGGAATTGTTAAAAACGGAGGGTTGTTAGAAGCAGGATTTTATTCAAGTTCGACTGTTTGTTGTGCTTTGTAATAAGCTCTCTGCTTGGATGAAAAGAACAAATAAGTTATACTCAGGAACCTAACTAATTTATATGAGGGAAGAGGGAATGACATCAACAGCTTAAGAACTCAAGAACTCACTGAGTACTATTTAGTAAGAATTCTCCAGTTAGGCCATCTGATTAACCTAAGTTTTGCAGTGAATGTAAAAATATTGAGTTGTATATAGTACCAATATATTTTAAAATAAAATGTCAATGGTTAAAATGTTTACAAAATTTCAGGTGAATCCTACATATTGACACCCTACATAGCTACAAACTGTATTATACTGAATGTCAATAAATATGTTTGCAATGGAGTACAAATTCTTTGGTTTTGTCATTCACTGCTGAAATAGTTTTAAAAGGCTTGTGTGCTTTTAACATTTAGCTCTAAAGCCTTTTGCTGTATTTTCCACTGAAAACAATGGAACCCAGAGAAGGCAATGAGCAAAAATACACCGACCTTTAGAATGAATGCAATTTTTTAATGAAAAAGGTAAATAGTGATAGATTTTGAAAGTTACAATAACTTAGTTCAACCAAATGATCACTTAAATTTTAAAAAACTTATTTCAGTTTTCCATTTAATTATAGAGACTTTATTCAAGTAATGAAGTAATTGATGTAAAAATTGTGGCTGTCACAAAGTATCAAACAACTATGGGTTTGTATTGTCCTAATTAATATAACTTGATATATTTAAAAAGAACAAACTATGAAGAATAAAATAATATAAAATAATTTATAAACTGATAACCCACAAGGAGCAATGTCATACTGTTCATAATATATCCTTTCTGTAAAGACGAGCAATACCATTTTTAAGTTGTTCACATGGTTTTATTCAAGTAATAATCTCTTATATTCATCACTGTTAAATTAACGACCAAAAATGATTTCTGCACAGGCTAATGGTTGTGATAAAATAGTTGAAGTTGATATCCATTATTAAACTTGTCTACTTGGGTTCTTCATTTTAAAACCATCCTTAACATGAAGGTAGCTCAACGCTTCTTTTCTTGAAATTTTCTTTGAAGTTTTCGTCAAATAGGTTAAGTTCATCTTCGTCTCTAAATATACCCTTTAAAATGCACAGAGAGAAATTAATTGTTGTTATAACCAAAAAAACAAACAGCAAGCACAATTTCATTATGTTTAGAAACAACCTTAAAAGAATATTTTAAAAAGGTTGGTCAGTCAATATTTGTCTGATCAGCTTTTGAAAACTTCTAGTTTATTTCTAAAATATTGTTGGCATATCTAATACCAGGTTGGTTGACACTAATTTAGCCGGTCGCACTCTCACATCTGCGACAGAAGATTGTGGGTTCAAACCTCATGTCGGGACTATGAACTCACATAATCAAGGCTGACATTCCATTGCTGCATTATTTGAGGTGCCATCCATTGGATGACATTTGACCGAGATCACATCTTGCCTGTTCAGGTGGACGTCAAAGACTGCACGACACCATTAGAAAAGGGGAGTTCCTCATGGTGTCCTGACCAACACATACAATTGACCATTCGCTTCATGGCTGTTTAACGGACTCAAATTGGCTGCAGGATTCACCTATGAAATAGTTACTCCACTTTGCAGTAAATACAGTGAAGCTCTTTGAGACATTCTCCCAACGTGAAAAGTGTTATATGAAATTTACCGATTCTTAATAATAATTATTAATAATTAAATTTCCAGTTTTACAGGAAATAAAAGCAGGACCTTTTGTTTCAAGTAGTACAAGTTAAGCACTATATGAAAAATTAACAGGTGTATAATTTTAAACTGGTACAAACTCACCTTTGGAAGATAGCCAAGCAGTTTACTCGCATGCTCTTTGAGAAGTTTTTGTCTTTCTTGCTCAATTATGTATTGACGACTTGCCTCTCGCCTCTCTTCCTCTTGGCGTTGTTCCATTTCACGTTTCTAATTAAAATACAATTGTTTTGTCGTGAGACACCGGAAACCATGAGAAACAAAGCATATGAAGTTCTTTTCATAAACTTAGTAATACAGAACACGAACGATTCTACTGCAGTTGCAAGAAAAATTTTCTTACATATAAAACCATTAAAATGTGAGCCCCAGGGCAACATAAAATACAAAGCACTTCCTCATAATCAGATACCTCAGGTGCAATAAAGTAACCCTCAAAATAAAATATTTTGGAAAACAGCCTAAAAATATTAAATTATAGAAATAAAAATGTGGATAAAGACCTTGCAATGTAAATACTGTGCCATTTTAAATAAGACATTACGTACTTGATCTTCTTGGAATCGGTTGCGCCGATCTTCAATAAGCTTCTCTACAGCCCTTCCATGTTCAAGCTGTTTCATACGACGTTTCTGTGCATTCATTTGCTCAATACGATCATCCTCTGCAAACTTGGCCAGCATGATTTCCCGTAATTCCGCTTCCTCCTTCTTGTGTTCCTCCTGGAGTTTCTGTTTGAAAACCATTTGCTGCTGGTAGACCCGCTGCATTTCAAGACGCTGACGGATTTGGTTTTCCATCTGTTCCTAGAAAAGCAAAAGAAGAAGTGTTGATGCAGCTGCACAGTGAGCGAAAGCACCAATGTGTCGTGCCATAAGTTTCATCCTTAATGATGCTGGAGTGTTGACCTCAGCTGTGCTCCCATGGATGGGAGGGGCGGGGGGGTGGGGGAGGGGGTATTGTAGTCTCCCATTCTTCACTTTTGAAGCTCAATCATTTTATTAGCCAGTCAACGTCAACATCCTACACCCAATCAGGAATCCAGAAGACAGTTCCAAAGTCTCCAACTGTGCTGCGATAAATAATTTGTGCGACAACAACTAATGTTAGGTTACCCACATAAGGGGATATCTACAGTAGTAGAAGTGAGAACCACATCGCACAAGCAATTGTTAGAAATCTGTAGCAACAAAAGTTGAATCTTGAAATGTACAGCCTTTTCACGTTTTTAATCCTTGTTTGTGTAAGAAATAATATTTTTGAAAACTTCCAGAAAACACCCAAGATTAAGGGGTTGTAAATGTTGGATGTGTCTCACCCCAACTCCACTCTGGGTACCATCTGGATTCAATATTTATAAATTCTGTATAATGTAGGTTGTGACCAATATCCCAATGTGTGTTTTCTCATGTTAGCAGCTTCTATTTCTCACTCACTGAACTGTCGCTTGCCAATACATTGCAAGCCAACTACTGGAATTCTAAGCGTGTGTCACAATTTTATTTTTCAAACTAGAACTTCATCAATTTGAATTGCAATACACAAACATTTTTTCTGAGGAGGAAAAAAATCCCAGCAAAGATTAAGGCTAAGATATATCTTAACGTTTCAAGTCAAGATATTTGTTGCTGATTTGGAAAGAATTGTACTTAGCGTATTTAGAATTAAAAAGAATTATGTTTCTATCAGAAAGTAATGATCGGAGGTCGAGCTTGACACTTACCATTTCTTGTTGTCTGGACAACTCCTCTTGTTCTTCAAGATACAATTCTTGTCGAATTTTTTCCATCTCTTCACGGCCATGACGCTCCTTTTCGATGTCCTCAGAAAGCTTAGGGTAAAAGCAAGTCAAACACTTGTTAGAAATTTAAAACTCTAATTCCGAGGGATCATACTACTGTACTTCTAAGGATACATGTAAGGTCAGCGAAGTAAAGATACGGTTGGTTACCTTCTTGTACGTGACTTCCTTCTGTTGTTCCCTTTCTCGAGCTTTGGCCATTCGGTCCTCTTCTCGGTGTTTCTGTGTATTCGCGTATTCCAGAATTTTTCTGTTTTCTTCTTCCATTCTTTCATGTTCCATTTGTTTCCATTCAGTCCGTTTCTTCTTGAACTCCTCAACATACCTTTGAGTGGACCTCACCTTTTCCAGCTTCAGCTCCCTCTCTCTGTGCAGAAAGGGATGAGTTAAAGATAATTTAAACAGATAATAGCATCAATTCTCAGATCAAAAGCATAAATTAATAACTTCATTAAGAAGTTTACAGCCCTGTCACTAGCAGATTGCAGCTTCAAGAAAACAGCATAGATTTTAAACAATTGACGAGATTGCTGTGTGAGGGTTAACTTTTTCTTTTCAATAGATGATGCGTGATTATAATATTTTGGCTGTCGATTTATAACCAGTACTAGATACTCATTTATCCCAAACAAAACACAGATATAGATGCTGTCGGATGAAATGCAAAACAAAAACAGTGTTCAGAGCCAGAGAAAGATGAGATTTGAAAATGAGAACGAGCCAGATGGCCTGTAATGATTTTTTCATTCCTGCTGGTTTTTATATTCTTAATTTACCTAAAATCTTCGTCGTAGATCTTTCTTACAATTTCATCAATCATTAGCTTATCTTTCAGGAATTCATCATAAGCTTCCTGTTTCTTCTTTTCCTTCTCATTAAGTTGCAGTTCCAATTCTTTCTGATATCTCAAAGTATCGTCGTGCCGTTTCTGCTCTATTTTGATTTCCTCCTGTAAAACCCTTTCACTCTCTTTCTTCATCACTTTAGAAATCTCGGCATCTCGTTTCTTGTGTAAAAAAAACGTATCTCTGTCAGCACAGAACTTACAAAATATTATTGAAGAAAGAGGCGATTGGTTTGCTTCTCAATAAAGATTACGTAATATTATTTTCTGATCTGAAAGCGTTCCTTAGCCTACAAAACCCACGCAACAATTTTTCACTACAAAAATACATTCTGAAGAGAAAATTCCATATAGTTTTATCCAAACACCAAAATATACATCAATACTAAGCTAATGTTAATACATTAACAAATTAGCCTCTGCCTTAAATAAAGCTTCTGCTTATACCTGTTCCCATATTATATTTGTGTGGGCTTCATACAGTAATTCAGGTAATTGGAGTTGAGGTACAGATCAGCCATGACCTTACCTTACATAATAATATTATTATTATTATTATTATTATTACAGAATGGTGGAACAGGCTCAAGGGGCTGAATGGCCTATTTCTGTTCCTATACAGTAATAGTTACTTCTGTTAGTTGCACCATTCGTGTCCGCCCTGAAAACATTGTTTAGCTCAGAAAATCTGGAATTCCTAAACGTTTCCGGTTGTCTAGAATTAATAATAATAAACAGGGAATTGGGGGTGTGGGTGGGGCGGGACAGAAATACCACCAGCTTCTGGACTCACCACACATATAACAGAAGCTTATCATACACATTCAGAGAAATGTGTTACTCAGCAATAGTAATCTACATTGTAAATACTTTACTTACTATCTGTTCATATCGGATGGCTTCTTTTTCAGCGATTTGAGCAGCTCGTTCTCGGTTCATGTAAGCAGCTTTCAGCTTGGCTTCCAACTCACGAAGCTCAATGCTAATTTAGATATGAAAAGAACCCACAAGAGTAGCTAAAATAAGTTAGGTAAGCACATAATCAGCACTTGTGGTGTTCTAGTGCAGGCAAACTGCATGAGCATCTTATGCCTGATCCCAAATCCAAAAATAACCTTGTTGCCTTCCATGGAAAGAATTAACTTCCAAACTTACACTCCAAAACTCTGAACTAGTACAGTATTGTAGAAGAAAAGGTTTCACAAGAAATGTTGCATATTTCAATTTCCCTTCACTATTACCGTGACATGTTTCTGGTCAGTACATTGGGTAAATAGCTTGATAATATTCCTGTTGTTTTTAAAATTACCTATTTTCTTTGATATGTTGTCTCATTTTTTCTTCTCTGAGTTTTTCATACTTTAATCTGTCTAGCTCCTTGGCCATTCTCTCCTCTTGTTCCAGTTGTTTTATTTTCAAACATCTCTTCTTTTGTGACTGTTGGATGGCATAACAATGAGTAGGGAACATTACATGCTTTCAAGGTTTTCAACCAGACCCCTCCCCTCCCCACCCCCCCCGCCCCCCCCCCCCCCCCCCCACTCCCTTCATCCCCCACCCCCAATAAATTTAGCTTGCCTTTATAATTGCTTCTTCAGTCTGTTTTTCCAGTTCTGCTTCCTGAAGTAATTTTTGGAAGCGCTTCTTCTCCACCATTTCTTCAATCTGTAGCCTGTTTAAAAGCGCTCGTTCCTCTTCAATTTTTTTCACATTACTTTCAAACAACATCTCTTTTTGTTTTGCCTGCTCTCCTTCCCTCTGTCGCTGCAACATTGTTTTTCGCTGGGGACCGAATTCCTGCAAACGATGGAAGAAATGCACATTTTCAACAGAAGCAGCAACACGTGTTTAAGCAGATTTTTTTCCTTTCAAAATCAACCCTGGGAGACAAGTGAGCTCCAATCTTCATGGATGGACAAAATTAATATGCGTTTCGCCCACAAAATATAGTCAATTCACTCCGTGAAGCACTTTGATACATCTGAAAGACGTTCTAAGGCGCTATATCAAATGGAAGGATTATTATTATTATATAATCTGTGATTTCTTACAGTTCTTCAGATAACTGGAAATTCAAAGGTTAAAAAAGAATCTACATATTGCCTGCATTTAAAATATAGGACACAGAAGTAAACTTTCCTTTTCCGTCCTATACCCCTTTCACCATAAACCTATCCGTTTGTAAACCTAAATGTTTTGCCCCCAAAAATACAGTCAGTCCACTTTACAATATACTGTATTCTGTGGAGTGCTTAGAGATGTCCCATTATAAATGATAATATGCTATATCAAATGCAAGGTTTATTATAATAAATGATAATACTTGCACTTGATATAGCGCCTCACCACGTCTTCGAGACGTCTCGAAGCGCTTCACGGAACGTACTGTAAAGCGAATTCACTCTACATTTTGTGGGTGAAACATTAATTATATGATTTTATATTATATAGTGGACCGACCGACCCACACACCCACCGACCCACACACCCACCCACCGACCCACCCACACACCCACCCACCGACCGACCACACACCACCCACCGACCCACACACCCACCCACCGACCCACACACCCACCACCGACGACCCACACACCCACCCACCACCGACCCACACACCCACCCACCGACCCACACACCCACCCACCGGACCGACACACCCACCCACCGACCGACCCACACACCCACCCACCGACCCACACACCCACCCACCGACCGACCACACACCCACCACCGACCCACACACCCACCCACCCACCCCCCCCACCACCCACCCACCCACCCACCACCCACACCCCCACCGACCCACACACCCACCCCCACCGACCCACACACCCACCCACCGACCACCCACCACACCCCCACACACCCACCCCACCGACCCACACACCCACCGACCGACCGACCCACACACCCACCCCACCGACCCACACCACCCACCCACCGACCCACACACCACCGACCCACACCCACCACTGACCCACACACCCACCGACGACCGACCCACCACTGCCTTTCCCTCCCACCCACCCACCCACCGCGGTGACGGGGTGTCAGGCCTTCCACCAACCGACACTTCAGTCAGACTCGAGGGCGGACAGAGACAGCGACAGCCACAGAGAGAGGGGCGCGGGGCGAGACACAGCCACGTGAAGGTGCGGGTGGGGGGGGGGGGGGGAAGGCCGACGCGAGCCTTACAGCCATTTACCGCCGGCGGTTAAGACCACGAGTGGCTCCGCTGTCAGATCGTCGCCCCGCCGCCGCCGCTGCTCGCGCTCCAGCCTCCGCCGCCGCCCGTTGCCGTGGACACGCCGCGGCCAGTAACGGTCGCTCCGATTGGCTGGAGCTGCGGCACCTGCCCCGCCCCCTCCCCCGGTCGCTAGGCGACGCGTGTCAACAAATAGGGGAGGGGGTGCGCGCGCAACTGGAGCAGCTGCTCTGGGCAGGGACACGTGTGTTGCAGGTCCTGATGGCTGGAGACCCCACTCCCACCTGTCTGTCTGACCTCTGCTCCACTGTTCGTTCAGACACCGATTGGATTTTTCCAGTATTTATTTCTACGTGTGTGCGTTTTTTTTTTAATGTCCGGATTCCTCCCATGTGCAGTCCTGCAGCTCAGGGGTTAGAGCGCTCGCTTTGCAAGCGAGAGACCGGAGTTCAATCCCCGGCGGGTCAGGGCCACGCCTCGGGCAAGTTTCCCTACTCCACGCAGAGCCCTAATAATAATCCCTCCAAAAAAACAAAACAATAATAATAAATTGGTCATTTTCGATCCACGACTGTTTGCGGGACATTGCTGTGCGCAATTGGCTGCCGCGTTCGCCCACAACTATACAGTCAATGCACTTTACAGTGCGTTCTGTGAAGCGCTTTGGGACGTCCTCCCGACGTGAAAAGCGCTATATCAGATGCAAGGATTATTATTATTATTATTATTATTTTCTAAAAGAAACCGCGGTTTATTTTAAACCTTGGGGTCCCTTCTGCCTGTACGGGTGGATGTTAAAGATCCGATGGCACCAATAATAATAATAATAATAATAATAATCCTTGCATTTTATACAGTGCCTTTATCATGTCATTGAGACATATCTTAGATTTTATAAACAGATCCATTTTCGGCTCTTCGTTTCGACGGCTGTGTTTCACCCACAACATATACAATCCACTTTGCAGTACATCCTATGAAGTGCTTTGAGACGTCTCGACTTGAAAGGAGCTAATATCAAATGGAAGGCTTATTATTATTGAATAAATAGCGGCGAAACAGCTTTCGGGATATAATGCAATTCGGGATCATTAAAACCAAACAAAAAGGCATTAATGCATTCGATGGTTGTAAAAATGTATGGATGCAAGTGGATAGTTTATTCGTTACAACTTTATTGCATGAGAAAAGAAAGATTTAAAAAAAGTCCCTCTCAATTTAAATCCCCAAAACAATCTCTTATTGACACATTCCCAAATCACCCATCCGGTGTTTATATTCTATTCTGTTCAAACTACAGTATATTTAAAATAATTGATGAAGAATGGAAATTGCAGTATAATAGAGTGTTGGGTTCAAGATATTATGTATTTTGTGTGGACTTTAGTCAAATGTGTTCCTTATTAAAACCATACTGCTTTTTAGGCTGTTTATACCTTTAAGATTATCTCCAAATAAATGTTGAAAGGAAAAATAAATCCACTTATTAGAATGTGATCTGAAATAATCTCTATTAAATCTAAAAATTATTAATGGAAACTGCTTTACCAATTGAAGAATTTGGGGCCATTATCAACACTTTAGCCCCTGCTGCTGCTAATTTTTCAAACTTTAGTGTTGTTTTGGACTCTGTTGTTGACCCATTACCTAGGCTTCTCAATTTAGAATGCATATTCTATTGAGGTAACGTAATTGTGTAGTATATCCGTGTTCTAATCTCTGGTGAAATTATTTCTAAATTCCCCAGAGCTTCTCACTGAAAGCATAATATTGGTTTAAGGATGTATGACACTAACAAATGATGTGGGTAGACAATACTTCTGAATGTATTGACTTTGTATGGCTAGAGCTATGCAGAATTTAGGAAGCGACTGCAGTTGATTTCATTGTTTTCTAAAATGTAATACTTACACTTTGTAAATATAAATGACTTACATGTTTCTTTATGCAAACACTGTACAATGAAGGTTGCCAAATAAATTGAATTATTGCATTAAACTTTGCTTTTTTAATAGTAATAATGGCAATTTTTCACTTGCATGACATCTAATCCCACAGGGCATAGTTATGCTAATAAGTCTTAGTATTGCTTGAAAACAAATGATCACTGTACATCATTCTTTTGATTTAAACTAATTGATGCTTAAAAGAGCACTATTATCACAAAACAATGCTCAATAAATTAAAGTATCACCATTAATCTTGTTGGTGAATGCCTATGGTGGTGCATTGTAATATGTGAAATGGATTACGTCTTAGACGTGAGTTTCATTAAACTTTTCATGAAGTTCTTCAAGATTCATAATCTCACACTTATTTAAAATGAACTCCAAGCAAACATAACCCAAACTTGAGTAATCAATTGACTGTTTGTTTCACCCAATAATGCTCTCCGATAATTTTAAAAGTATCTCCAGTCTATGGAACGTTTTCCTATTATGGACTTCATCCATGGCCCCACAATACCGTTCACAAGCATGTACTTATCCAGTTGTTTCTTTATATAAGACTTTATGTGGCACAGCATAAATTACTGGGGTGGGGTTTATTACAATGCATTAATGAGACCTAATAATTAATCCTTGCATTTGATATAGCGCTTTTCACGTCGGGAGGACGTCCCAAAGCGCTTCACAGAACACACTGTAAAGTGAATTGACTATATTTGTGGGCGAACGCGGCAGCCAATTGCGCACAGCAATGTCCCACAAACAGTCGTAGATTGAAAATGATCAATTTTTGGGGGGGGGTTTTGGAGGGATTATTATTAGACGTGTGGAGTAAGGAAACTTGCCCAAGGTTTCGCCCTGCCTGGAATTGAACTCAGGTCTCTCGCTTGCAAAGCGAGTGCTCTAACCAGTGAGCTACAAACTCCAAATTGAATAGAAGTATTGAATAACAAGGCAGCAGTCCTCAATTTCATTTGATTTATTTATTTACCTTTTAGGATAAGATGGGTCAATTGCCGTAGAACTATTGCTTGCGGTAATTTAGTTTTCCTCTAAAGAACACTCCTTTTTTAAAATAAGGGCCAGTTTTCCTCTGCTGCATCTCATCTCTGTTATAAGGAATGATTGCCAACACCCGAAGGATATCTGAGCAGAAAGAGAAGTGGAAGGCAGCACAGCGCTTGTGTCTGATCTGCTAATAGCAGTGATAAGATGAGATAAAAACTGGCTTTATCTTTCCAGCCACCAGGAGCTCAGAGGTCGTAATTAAGGCTGTGCATCTTACCACAAAAGATGCTTTAAAAAAATGACATGTCTTAAACATTATTTACCTCCTCACTTGCCACTTGAACACAATTACCTAGCAGTCAGTGCCAGCTGAACAATTTGGCCCCCCAGAGAACATTTGCATACTGTATTTAAACTTACACATGGCACCAGCAGTTTTGTGTAGGATTTGCATTCCTGCCAGTACGACCTGTCTCGGGAGAGGGGTGGGGAGGAATATGTTTCTGGTCCAGTGAACATATCTGGGTCTCAATATGACAATTTTGGCTAATTTTAGGGGGGAAAATAAAGACGCGTGCAAACAGGGGATGATCTGAGCTTCACTGGTAACCGCTGCAGGGAGTTTCTGTTACCGTCCACTTTGTGAGGGCTCAAACCGACGCTTGTCGGGGCTCAAATGACCAACTAGTGACTATCCTCCGGGGGGAGGGGGGGGGGTCGGGGGGGGTGGGGAGGGGGGGGTGGTCTCTAGTCCGGTTCCTAAGCCAAGCAGATCTGCAGTATTCCAGGGTCCTGCTGATGACAGCACAGCCAGCCTGGCTCATTGGCAGGCAGGGCAGACCAGTTACTGGAGCAGGGAGTCTTCCCACTCAGCTCCTGCTAACCCTGCAAGACAAAAGCTCTGATGGGAAGGGTGGTCTTAGTTGGACAAGCAGTGGGAAAACTTGCCAGGGTGTGGCAATCTTTAGTTGGTTAGACTAAAGTTAGACTTTAGTTGGTTTGAACCTGCAACTTTCTAAGCCAAAGGCAAGAATTTTAGCAACTGAGGCAAACTGAGTTTAATTGGGTTGTAGGGTTGGGAGGAGAGGATGAACGATAGGTAGGCAATAGGCAGGCAGGCACGCCTAGTAGATACCATTTTATAAATGGAATTGAGTTTTTTCTTTTGAAATCACAGCAGACAACGTAACATGGACCTTGTTTTGTACAACGTACTGAAATTCTTTTGAGATTACCACTCAATTCTAAATATGAAAAATGTTTAGTCTGATTAACCCGTATCACTGAAGTCTAAACTCGGAATCCAACCAGTGATGTCACATTCTGTTGCTCGTTCTGCTTCACTATATCGTTACTCCTGCAGGAAAGGGCTCAATTATTCAGTTTTCCCGCAGACACCAAACTTATTTTCTGCCTGACAGGTCTCTTTCACAAACATGTTGTTGTATTCCCCTCAGGGACTTTGGAGTGAAGCTGTCCCCTTCTATCTCCTGAGCTGTAAGACCATTCTCCTCTTTGCCTCAGTGCAGGTAACAGACCATTTATCAGAATGAAGGATGCTCTCCGGGGAAAGCAGACAGCAGGACAGTGAGCATGGCCTGAGTGACAGCCCGAGTGCTGGAGATTGATTTTAATGAAGCCTGGAATAAACAGCGAGATTAAGAGCTTGTACAGCGGTCTGACAAGTTTTTACTTCCACCTTTCTCTCAGAAATTGAAGCCAGAATGTACAGCTGATGCCTGTCTCAAGTTTATGAATGTATTTAGCACTCTTTCCTCGGTGATTGGCTACACTTCTACACAGTCCTGGGGGAGGGGAGTGGGGGATAAACATGCTTTCTGTCTGATTTATGGACTTCTTCACGAGAAAAGTACTGCAATGTTGCATAATTTGTTTCACAGCAAATGTGAACCGAACCACTTTCCCACTTTTATTACTGAACAAATCTTTTTGCGGAATATGAAATGTGAAATCTCCAGCCCTCCCCACACACACACACATATTCACATACATACATACACACATACATACACACTTGCTTGCACATTGCTTTCTATGTTAACCCTATCTGCCTTTCACAAATATCATCCTTCAATTTAAACAACATGGTCACAGGGTTGAGACCTACTTTAG